AGGTGAAATGAATTACGAAAGTTTGTATACATATAGATGGATGGCCATTTATTACGCCTTCACGTATAAACTGAATGACCTTCGGACATCCCGGCGTACGGCAAGTATCCACCCTTACGTTGTTGAGACACCTGCGGCCCGGACTAAGCGTTTTGCCTCGTCATTTATACCGCGTACATCGAGGGATTGGAACAGTTTGCCGGCTGCAGTGTTTCTGTCCGAATACAATTTGGGTGTCTTCAAGGCTAGAGTGAATAGGCTCTTAATAAACTAATGCGCCTTACCATCAACGATTGCATCACTGCTTACTATCAGGTGGGATCGCAGTCAAGCACTAGTTTATTGAAAGTAAAACAAAAAAGATTTTTTATTAAAATTGACACAGAGATAAGAGTGCGTTAAGAGTGAAAGGTCGAAGCTTCGGCACGAATGGGCAGGCTTAACCGAAGGTATACCACGGCCGCATAGAAAAAAATCCCCGAAGGGCCAGCAACGCACTCGTGACTCCTCTGGTGTTACGGGTGTCCATGGCCAAAACATAAACTATTGTTCATCCCATAACAATAGCTTAATATAAATATATAAGAGGAAGGCCAAATTACGTCACGTCTACTTTACTTTCCTTTATTCCTTGAAGTGCTATCTGCAGCACTTAGTAATAAAAATGTTTTATTAACTTTTCGCTAATTACTTATGTGTCTTATATCATTAAATTTGGTTGACTGTAGAGGCAAAGTCAAAGTCCCTGAGGGATGGGTTGGTTTTTAGTCAGTAAGAGTTAAGATATCAATCTAGTTTCAACCAGGGCTGGAGAAATTCTTAAAATAGTGGTAAGAATACTTGTGAGAACAGTTTCAAGCATCACTTAATTGCTAAGAAATCGATCAAGATAAATAAATCGAGTCAGCTAAAGTGACCAGCAAATTGCAAGATGGCGGCCTAACAAACTGGGTGATTACTTTCCCCGTGTGACGTAGTAGGGTCGGCAGAGTTGTCTAATTAATTATACGTGACGTATTAGTGGCCCTTATTAATTGACGTATATTGTTACTTAGTTTGTAGGAGCTATTCAAGGAGATGTGAATAGTCTGGAGTGTAAGTAATTGTGATAAAGTCACTCGATTTATTTCTTTGTGTATTTAAAATTGAGTTACAGAATACTAGAAACGAACCTACTGGAGAAAAAGTTGTTACATTTTGTATCTATAGTGCTTTTTTTGTAAGGGGAAAACATCTAATTACTTCTCCCGCCCAGGGTAAGGCGAGAGAGAGTGTCAGACTCTTACTGAATTAAACCCCCCCGTTCCGTCTCCTGCTCTGGGCCGAGGTCGCAGTGCCTCATTGCGCTTATCCCGCAACCTCGGCGTATCTATAGTGCTTGCAGTTTGATTTGTATTCTAATTTTGCCCGATATTCTGGATATGACCTTTTCCAATCTCCAATTCCCCAAATCGTAGATCCTCATCTAAAATTGCGGGTGTTGAAGGGTGCCGTTGTTTACCGATCATTAGCAAAAATACTATTGGTACTAGCTCGACGTTTATATAATTTCATTTTAATTTTTTTTCTTTTCCTAAAATCTGAGCGACTAAGAAAAAAATAATATACTTTTTTCACAAAAAAATTTATAAATTTCTACCCACAATAGTGTTCTTTTTTGCTTGTTTGTGCGTGTGAATTTGTGAATGTTTAATTTAACTTTAAAATACAACAAGTACAAAACTATTCTCATTGCACATTTAAAAACAATTCTCCTGACTCCATCAAACATTCTCGTATATAAGCACACATTATTTTCTAACTAAAACCACTTAAGTCGTAACTCACGAACCTTGAGACCTCTCCCACGGAGTGTCCGGAGGATCACGTCCCTCCAGTGAGGCACTACATCTGTCCCTCGGCGGATATTGCCTCTAACTCTTAATATCGCCAAACTCCCCCCAGAGGGGGCTGGAGGCGTTGCACGGTATACGAGCACTTTGCAGCGAGTACTTTCCTTGGCTTCATTTATTTATTGGGAATGAATTGTTTAGAAACTTTTTAGTAAAAAGTCTTTCGGCTATCATTAGAATTATTAGACATGTTCAATTAGCCGCAGATTATCGGTCAGGAAGACAGTATTTCAATAAAATAACTGTTGCTATAATCACTCTTCTTACAACTCTTGATATTACAATCACAACTATTACAATTTAACTAAGGATTATTAAGATTAGATTGGATTTGAACTTAACGTCTACCGAACATGTGGCTGCGTGCCTATCTACGAAGGTCCAACACTAATGCCCGGTTTCCGAAAGCCCGATCAATGTTCAACTAACTAGGTGTCAAATCTCTTGTCAAGTCATCTGATTGGTTGTTGATAATTCAGTCAATCAATCAGATGACTTGACAAGAGATTAAATTGATTTTAATTAACATTGACCGGCCTTTCGGAAACCGGGTGTAAGTAAGTGTACCCTATTATATAATGTACTCTGTGTGTCCTGTTTTACAAGAAGGCCGCCTCACCAGACCTCAGTGTTCGTTAAGGACTTGAAATAATTATGACTTTTGATAGTGAAGTTTGACATCGACGTATAACAAAGAGGTATCACATGTACTGATGGCCAGTGCGCCGACAAGTATAATTTTTTGTGGCTTTGGAATTATGTTTTATTCCAATAACACTATTTTCGCTTCAAATGTTAAATATAAATATTTTCTTTGTATTTCATGGGATAGGGCGTCAAACGAGCTGACGGATTACATGATGGTAAGCAAATAGCGCCGCCCATGGACACCCCAAACACCAGAGGTTGCCGGCCTTGGAGTTAGGGGGAACAAAGATAATTATACTTTACAAGCTACTCTCGCACGGTTTCACCAGCTGCTCGGCTCCATTTGATCGTAGCGTGATGTTGTATAGCCCATAGCACTTAGGAACATTGTAGAAATCTGTCAATGAAAGAATTTTGGCAATCCGTCCAGCGGTTCCAAAGATTACCCCCCTACATACAAACTAACAAACTTACAAATTTATCCTCTTTATAATATTAGTAAAGATTATATGATTGTTTTCAATTCATGTTGACAAGTCAAACAATTGTCCAAACTATCCACATAATATTAAAAGCAAAATTTACCGTAGTATGTACTCTAGTGGAACTATTGGCTTGAAAAAATATTGATTCTCACGTCAAGTACGTCTCGAAGAAGATTTTATTAGATGTCTTAAAAATTTAAGAAATTTAGATGCACGGGTAATACCTATCAGCGTTAAAACCGAGCACTATAATCAACTTTATTGAAGATTAAATAACTACTGAAATATCTTCATATATAGAGAGTTCTAGCAAATAATTTTAAACATTGCAGTGTTTATAACTGGAGGTCTTTCGACCCCATTTAATTGTATTAGCAGCTCCCAGAGAGCGCAGCTGCGGAGGAGGCAATAATCCCATTACTAATGCTTAAGGAGATAACACAACATTGTTACACGTTGTTATACTGTTTGCGGGATCTGATCTCAGGATAATTACAATGATGATCATTGTTAAACATGTTAGATATTACTGGATTATAATAATCCATAATAATATAAGATAATCATTATTTGATTGGTAGCATTATATCTATTAGGTAAGACTGATTAATTATATGGTGGCCCGGAGGTTAAAGCGCTCGCTTCTCATGGATGAGGGCTCGGGTTCGAAACCTGGCAAGTGCAAATGTGAATTTTCCCGAGTTAATTATACACTTTCTATAATTATTTAGACACCACTCACATACGGTGAACGAAAAAATCGCATCGCAAATTCTAATTATATAAATTATAAGTCCAGGTTTCCTTAAGTCCAGGTTGGTAGATTGTAATCGATAGTCCACCTTGAGCCTGCGTGTAGACCACCACAGATGGATCCTATTCAGGCCGGAGTACGAGTCAGGGTAAAGGCAGCAAGCACAATAATATACTGAAGAAACGTGATGGTTTTTAGTCAGTAACAGTCTGACACTCTCTCTCATCCCAGCAGTCATTTAATTTATTTTATTTAAACTTCATGCACAATGGATACATAGGCGGACTATCCCCACTCGAAAAAAGGGGTACACATAAGAACAAATGATGATTCACGGGTTCCAACCGTAATCAAATAAATAATCAAAAAATCAATTTTATGCTTATAAGTACAAACTTTTTCGCAATCAATTCGTGGATGTAATTTTACCCAAAGTGACTGAGGTTCAGTCCAAACAATCATTCATCAATATGAATACTCGTACGACGGAAGCATGATAAGCGTGACCTTGAAATAAAAGAATCGCAGCCTACAATACCGGATGTGAGTGCACAAAACAACAGTGTGTTAATTTCCTTTCAAAATAACACCTTCCCCACGATTTACATGATGTAGTTAGATCCGTACACCTTAGATATTCACTAAGTACCATATGAGTATGATATACCATCGGGTATATTACTAGATTTATTGAAAATGGCGCGCTGACGCGAACGCTGGATTATCTTCTAAATAAAAATCCTGTTGTGGCCTTAAACTGGTAGAGCTTTTCTCACTGTAGTTGTATTCTGTAATTATAAGGCAGGAGCAATTAATGAAACTGCGGTTCGAAATGACAACTGCTTTATTTTAGTACCACACACAATTACGTGAGTTGGTCGTGTTATGTATTGTATTTTTGTAGATCAAGGACTACTTTCGTGTCAAAATAAATCAAAATTACTGATTTTAATTTTGTCACGAAATTATATTCATAAAAAATATTATAGGCACCTATTACAAACTAAAAATCATATGATCACATGTACTGATGGTCAAAATGCAAAATCATAAAAAGAATTTAAAATTTTGTTGCTGCGGCATAGTATTACTAAGATAGTTAGTGCTATTTTTGGCTACAAATACTTATATCTAATTTTATTTAACACTTATTCTGTGTGTCTTCTTGTACAATTTAAATAGCATTATATTCAGTCTACAATGGTGATTTCATTGTTGCAGCATGGGGCGAGTCTCTGCTGTCCCTCCCGAAGCGCTGGCTCAGCACCCAGGTATACGGGTCAGACGACGAGGACTATCAGGTAACAACTTGCTCATTTAGGTTTAATATTAGTCCGAAAATAAAATAGGAGGTACTTGGCTCAACCCGGGGTTGACGTCAACACCTCTTGTTTGACAGTCACGGTTGTGATTACTAGACCAACAAGGCAGTCATAAATTATTATGACATTATACATGTGAGCAATATTTTTATGCACAAAGCAATAAAAATTGTACTAAGAAAGAATGTACAATGAAATTCAACCTCTATTGAAAAGTACACATAGTTGAAAATATTCCAGAATGTCCAGCTACCCAAGTTGCCAGTCCCAGAGCTGGAGACGACGATGGAGTCGTACTTGGAGTTTGCTTCAGTGGTGGTTAGCCAGCAGGCACTGGAGCACTCGCGGGGACTGGTACGAGGCTTCATGGAGGAGCTGGGCCCACGACTACAGGAGACACTCACCGATAGACAGAAGGAGATGGACAACTGGGTAAGAATATTGATAATTCTTCAACTTTAGTATAAGCCATCCCTTGCCGTGGTGGCCTCGACCAAGTTAAGGCGGCCGCTTCTCATGCATGAGATTGCGGGTTCGAAACCTAGCAAGGACCAATGTGACTTTTTCCGACCGATATACTTTCTATGATTATTTAGACAACAATGACATACGGGAATATGAATATGAAGGGAAACATCGTAAGAAAACCTGAACTTATAATTTCGAATTATAAGTTTGAAATGGCCACTCAAACCTTCTCTGTGTTAGAAGATGCCTTTGGTCAGCAGTGGTCACTTATAGGCTGATGATGTGTGTCACTTGCTGGCTAAAGGCTAATACTGTTTATCAGGTGGTAGTTACTCCAAATATTAATAAACAACAGCTCTGTGTTTAAAATTCGATTTTACATACGTAAATATGGATAATCAATTATTTTGAATGACTACGTTGTTGGCAACCAGACTTCATTATTTCAATGGCATTTAGAGCGACATAAAATAAAAGAAAACATTTGCGAGCGCGCTTATCGCAGCCGTTAACGTTTTCCTTCGTAAGGCAAAACATAGTTACGTCAACATTATTGTTCCAAACACTCGGCAGCACTAAGCTCCTCCAACATGACGCCTTTACAATTACCGACTTAAAATGAAAATCAAAACTTTAATTCTTCTGTGCCTAATATATCAAGTTCTGCAAACTTATGGATTGGTACAACTCAAAAACTCTCTAGCGACCAGTGACAGTCCTCTACTGATGAAAATTCTGCAGCTGGTGGACGCAGCAACCAGTAACGAACATTTGCTAGAAGTTACGTTGAAGCTGTTGCGGAGTCTCTGTGTTTGTATGCGGGAGACATTGAAAGTGAAGGAAGAAAATTATTTAATTAGCAACAATTCCATAGAACCCAACGAGTCGCACAGCACTGATGGTAAAGTACTTGAACTCTATACAAATATATACAATAACACCTGTATTAATTTAAAACAAGAGTTGACTAACCATTCCCAAAAATATAACGCTGAAGAAGAAAGTGCGTTTTTGAATCATACAAGTTGTGGCAAAGATGAAAATAACAAAACACACATTACCACTGGGGAAAGCCATAAGGCTCTGGTTGAGCAGAACCCATTACCATCAAGACTGGAAAACGTTTTGTTAAAAGCACTCATACAAACAAGACACCTTCACAAATATAGAATCAAAAAGTACAATCTACTTGGTAAGGGTGCGCCAAACAAGGAGACAGTTAAACATAATCTCATCATAATACTAACCTTACATTCTGATGAAAAAGAGGCACCTTCTAAGAGATATAGTATTACCGAAGAGGAGTTAAACAAAACTCTGTATACAGATACGCCAATAGGAATAGATATAATAGATAAAAAACATGATCAAAGTTATAAACACAATAACAAAAATCAGAAGCCTGACATTGTTTCGGATTGCAACTTGCAATCACTTTATATTTTTTTAATTGAAAGTGAACGAAACAATCTTACCAAGGTGTACAAATTTATTCGCAAACGAGATACAATAAAGATGTACATAGAATTAAATACGACCCAAAATCACAGTGACTATTTAAATATGTGCTGTAACAATGGTACTTCTACTCCACAGTGTACCCATGACGCTCCTATACCATTTAATGCGTCAAACGACGTACATAATAAGACTAACCTATTGCAACATTACAGAAATACGATAACAAAAATTAAAAAGCTGGTGAAACTTTACGAGATAAAATTAAACGATACTAAAGATTTAGATATTCTTGTTGGTCCATATAAAGATAGTAGAAACGCTTTTAATAAAGAATCGACAACAGAAGATCGCACTGATAAGGAAGATCGCTCCAGTCACAAAGAAAGCAATAGTAACAAGTTAGTATTGAATTCTAATGATACTACACAGTTGGTGGAAGTAACAAAGGCCATTGTATTGCTAAGTGATTTTGTTTCTAAACAAACCACACAACATTACCTGCAAACTGTTGCAGTTAATCAAACTAACATTGATAAGGTGAATACAGCGCAACCATTAACTAGTAATGAGCTTAAAAATGCAGGTTTAGTACAGTCAAATGGTACATACATATTTAAAGAAGTTAACCAAGAATCAACGGGTTTATATAATACAAAAGATAAATATCCAACTACATCAACAAACCCATCTCCTAATCATAAACCCCGAAACATTACAAACAATGATACGATGTTCTCAACCGATGCTGTAAAAGTCACGCCTTTTTTTAAGCCAAATCGAACAAGTAACAGCAAAGATTTGCTTGAGACTGTAGATGCCACTGTTGCAATGATTGTGAAAAAACAAGAACCAACGATCGCTTCCAACTTAGAAGGAACAACAGCTTTCAAAAACACAAATAAGGATTCAACATTAAAAGTCGCAGAGGCAATTGATAACAACAAATCTGCATCTTTAGATTTCGCAGAAACTAAGTCATTAAGCAATACATTAAATTATTCAGTTACGCCTATAACCACTCATTACGATGAAAATGTTGTCTCGGCACAAATAAACAACCAGAGTTCAATATACTCTAACACTGATATTACAACATATCCTAATATACTAAATAATCAAATTTATGAAGCTGAAACTACGACCTATGACAATTCATCCCCTTTAATAGGCATTCATGCAGATTCTACAATCGATGATGTTAATAAAGAGACACTGCTTACGGACATAACTCCTTTATTTGCCTACTATGAAATGACGAATACTTCAACACCACTCTCAATGTATGCTAATGATGAACTAGAAAGCGTCATACTTGGAAATATGACCACACCTGAACTTATTAGTGATGATAAAGCAATAAATTCTACAAAACCGTTAAGTAAAACAGATAATTTACACTCTTTCGATGTTGATGCAGTGGACAAAAGAACCTTTACGTATACTGTTGAAAAAATATCAGAACATACTAGTGATTATGAAATGGATACTACATCTCAAATTCCAACTGATTTAATCAATACAAAATCTTCTGTTAATTATATAGAAGACGTAACACTAGGTAAAATAGTTAACAAAACCACTGTACTGGACAACGATAGTAATCTATCTCCAGCGGAATTAAACAGTACTGAATCTTATAAGATTGTTATAGATAGCACAATTCAACATGAAAATGAATATGAAACTATGGGTTTATCATCGCCGATACAAGACGCTATCACCTCAGAACCTCCTATTATGGTTATTGAGGATACAACTTTTTCCCATCCATTTAATTTAACAAGTGCGCATGAACATGGGAGTTATGATAAAATTATGAATTTAACACTACCCGAAACCAATACAAAAAATACAGAAGTTTCTGTAAGTGATGTTACCAGAAATAAAATACCTGCAATAACAACTGAAGGTAGTGCTGATAAAACTACAAATGTTACCTCGCAGCCTTCGATTAACTTCACTGCTAAAGAGTTTTCTACAGATGATGATAAAGACACAACAATATTATCTGAAACATTTATTACTACACAGACAATTGAACATGTCAGTGATGGTGAGGCTACGACAACACCTACGAATGATTTAACTATTATAAATTCACCTGTTGTTGACAATACAGATAAAACAACACATGAAGATGTATTTAATTTTATTACACCAAGTAATGACGAAATTATGGATTTCGCGTTGCCTTTCAATACAGATGTATATTTTACACCTGATTCGTTCGTACAAAATGATGACTTAGTTGACAAAGATCTAATGTTAGACAGAAATAATTATACGGATGATACAGATATTGAAAATATTACTGAAAACATTAATACGCTCTGGGTGCTACCAAATGAAACACAACCCGTAATTGGTTATTCAACCTCTAAGACAACAAACTTCACTGATGGAGCCACATCTTATGAATATAAACCTAATATTACAAACACTTCACCAAAAGTGATTGTATCGTTTGAAGCCAATAAAAATCCTAAAATGGACATTGAAATAGAAGAAAAAACTGTTCTTAATCCTGAAAATAATACCGAAATTCATCCGACGTCTATAGCGTTGAATACAAATATTGGTAAAGAAGAAAAGGAAACAATACCAATATATTCTAATTATGTCATGGCAACAAAGGATACCACTGATTTTGATTATGCTACACCGAATAAACCATCTACAGTCAGTACTATTAATGATGTACTAATAAAGCACGAAACAGTAACTTTAGATACAAAAGTTACTGATACTCATTTTAAAAATACTGATATGGGGTTAATATCCACTGAATTAGTACCGACGACCTCCGATGACAATAAATCAACTTTTGATAAAAAAGAAATCAATGAAACACGTGATAAAGTTATGGTAACATCAACCAGAAACATACAAGAATTTAATAAAAATATTACTGAAAATGATAATAGTTATATCAAAACTGTTAATTATGCTATTGAAGACCAAACAGATAGAGCCCAGATAAGTGCAGTTACTGAGAACAACGTATTGGAAATTGGTAACCAAAATATTAAAACAAATCATTTAGAAACCCCTCTGACTACTGAAGAGTTTATTGTACAATATACAAATTCTACCCAATCATCGGAAAATAACAAAGGAATAGTGAAGAATAATACCAGCCATACCACATCTGATGTACCTGATTTATTGGTTGCATCTAGTCTAGGTAATACAGATGATACAACCAACATAAAAAATGTTGTTACTAAGAGCCAACCAGATAAAAACCAGATAAGTGCAGTTACTGAGAACAACTTATTGGAAATTGGTAACCAAAATATAACAATAAATCATTCAGAAACCCCTCTGACTACTGAAGAGCTTGTTACACATTATGTTACCTTATTATCAGACAATGACATAAGAATAATAAAAAATAATAACAGCCCTACGATGTCTAGCGTACCTAATTTATTGGTTACGACTAGTCTAGATAACACAAATAATATAGCCAACTCTAAAATTACAAGTTTTAACTTTAGAGTTCCTAGTACTAAATCAATAGCACAAGAGGAAAATATATTCGGGTCTTCTTCACCAACTTTGAAAAATGAAGACAATTTCGATATTCATAGTAGTGAGATTAAAGAGACAACTTTCCTAGATATAATGACTGAAACCAAAACAGACCTAACCGAAGCAGTTGAGACAAGTACCATATCTCCCATACAAAAAATAACTACAGAAACTGAAATCATTCAAGATGCTGTCGATACGGAAAATATTAACCAACTGCAGTTCATACAGGATTCTGTAGATTTCACAACTCAAGAAAATATAACAAGCTTAAACTTTAATACAACCAATTTACAAAAATCAACTAAAAGTTTATTGTTCGATAATTTTATGGAAACAAGTGAAAACAACTTTGAACTAAAAAGACAAGATGTAAAAGAAATCACTACGTCGCAATATATTTTAAAATCGAATGAGACACGTGATTTAAACGTTACCCAAGCGGTACCATTTACAAAGGATACTACAAACTTTATCGAAGCTGACATTTCTGAAGAAATCTCGACTACAAAAAGATCTTTGGAAATCAACAACCTCTCAACCACACAATTTCTGACAAATAAGACGGCTAGAGATATATCACGGGAATATGAATCAGAACTTTTAGAATCTGGAAAATTATCGACAAAATTGATGAGTATAGACTCAGATGAAATTATGCTACTACCTAATAAAAAGAAAGATGAAGGGACTAGTACATCTCCTAATGTTCTTTCTACATCAACTGAGTCTTACACTACAATGTTCGTAAACTATACTTCTAATTCTGTGTTGGACTTCAACAACAACTTCAATGACGTTGAGACTTCCATAACAAAACCTGTTTACAATTTATCGTCCATAACTCCAAATGAAGAAATGGAATTTTCTTATCAAAATGAAACGAAAAATAAAAATTACCAAACTGATGCACTAGCACAAATAAGCAATAAAGTTTCAGATAGAGAATCAAGTACACTTCAGGAAACTGAAACAAAAGAAATTAATCTAATTAGCTCTGATAACCATTACATTGAGACTCTCCAGAATTCAAAAGGTTTAACAACGGAATTATTATCGAGTCAAAAGCAGTTAAGTGCAATAAATTTGGATCAATCTTTAACGTCAGCAATGACCACATCGTCGTCGTCATTCCAGAATTTAGCCCATTCTACTTTACCGACTAAAGGTAACTCTACCGCCATAAAAACAAGTTTCATTAAAAAAACAGAAAACACAATGAATATTTTTGAAAACCATGGTACAACGAACATATTACAATTAGAAAAATCCAAGAAAAAAAATGTATTTGATCCTCAGGCAAACGATGATTTTATAACTTACGGTCCACCATTACATAAGAAAAATGATGGGCTACTCATCAATGATGTTACGAATAATATTTTGGAAACAACACGTACTTTTGACAATGCAAATAGTACCAATAATTTGTTAATAGACAATCATAGCATAAATATTACAAAAGAAGACATAAAAACCGCTATTAAGACACCAACTGCATTAACAGTTTCCAAAGTTACAGATATAAAGGATTTGCATATGAAACATTTAACAGCAACTTCAAAGCTTAGTGATAATGAGTTCTTTGAGACAAGTAGTAACATATTTGAGAATTTAAAAAAACCTTCAATAGAGACAACGCATTACGTACCTGTGCAATTTGAATCAGCCTACGACACCACAATATCGACGATAGATAAATCCAATTCAGGTGCTAGTCCCAGTTTTGAAACAACGTTTTACAACACCAAAACAGAAACTACTCCTACTAATGAACTCAACTTATATGCCTCCGAAAGTAACGATTACAAGACAAATACACCAAGAATTGAAAAATTATCCACTAAGTCCAATAATATTACTGTAAAAGAACATTCTAAACGTTTAAAAAAAGCAAAAGTTAAAAACATTTTAAAACGGCCAGTAGCATTCGAATTAAATATTCGTGTTGGAGTAGAAGCAAGTAAAGACGGAATAAAGTTTACAGTACTCGGTAGCAACGAAACTGCAAAAAATTTACTTACCTCACAAAAGCATCAACAATCATCTGCAAATAATTCAGACAAAAAAACTACAAAAACTATGAAAACAAATAAAAATAATAGTAAAGAAGCGACGTTAAAATCTAAAATAAAATTAGATAATGATACACATAAGTCAAAGATATCTTTAAACAACCAATTAAAAGACATAGTCTGGATAAATATGCACAGGAATCGAAAGTCCAATTATGACCAAAATGCTGACCTAACTCGTATATCTACTATTCTTAATAAGCTATCATGGAATCCGCTACCAACAATTAACACCAACTACACAGAAAGTATTAACAATTTAAGTATTACACAAAATGCACATGTCATGAAACCTCCCGGAGTCAACCTTACTACAGCATATATAAATACTACCATGAATGAGACGTCTCCTGTAGTATCTTCTAACGCAACTAGTGGTACGCACGAAAGTAAAAAACCTGATGCTCTGAGTCAGACGCCAGCAATTAACAATATTAAAAGTATTTATATTAAGTACCTTCAGAAAATTAAAGACAGCATGGCCTTTAACAAAGATAAAAATATAACTGCTGCCGACATTTTAAGTAAAATGTACGATGCAATGAAAATGCATCCTATGGGACAAATTGAAATACAAAACCGCTTAAAACTCAACAAAACACAGACAAACAATACTTTACATAACAATGACCACATTTCAAACTTAAATACAACCAAAAGATTTCACAATAAACATGATACCATTGATAAAGCATCAAAATTAAGAAAGAAGAAAAAGAAAATTTTAAAATCAAGGCGTAAAAAAGTGGCGGCTGCACTCACAAAGCTTCTCAAGGGAAAGAAACTGACTAAGAAACAACTACGAAAATTAACAAAAAAGATACTGAAGAAGAATTTTCCTAGAATTTCTGATATAAGAATGCATAATATGAGCAGTAAAACCAATAACTCAATAAGTAATGATACTGCCGCCACTAGCAATAATGTTACCCTCCTGTCTGGAAATGTTACTCGAAGTGTAGTAAATATCACTTCTTTGTATTTAAATAAAGAAAGTAGCAATATTAAAAATTCATTGACAAACGTTACAAATTTAACCAAAGGAAATATTGCTCTCGAAGATTATCGACAAGAAATTAAGATATTAAACAAAACTGGTTTAAACGTTTTATCAGAGCGAAAAGTGAACAACTCTATCAGAGATGATGTGTCAAAATTTAAATCTTCCAAAATTAATTCTTCACATCAATATACATTCCGAGAAAAAGAAAGTTATAAAGATTCCAAAGGGATTGAAAAAATCTTTCGAACAAACACTACGTTACCTACAATTGAACATGAAAAACTACTGAAAGTGACAAAAAATTACGTAAGTGAGTTTCAAGCTGCTGCATTTAGGAACAATTCACAAGAGAAAATATCAACATTCGTTTTAGATGATACAAAATCACCTAGTTATAAAAGTATAACGATGGCAACCAACGATGGCAAAGAATCAACCAATATTGTCACTGGAATGTTAACAGTCGACATCGACACGATTGATGATTTAATTCACAAACAAAATGGTTTTAATCATTCAACTGTTGCGTACAATGATGACAATTTTATTGCAAAAGACCAAAAACCTACTGAAGATATTCATAATGGATTCTCTGAATACACTGCTCCCATACCTGCTGGGCAAAAAAGCACTTCAGAGACGACAATTTCAAATAAAACTGACTACTTAAATAAATTTCCTGTTCATAATTTTGAATTAAGAACTGAAATAGAACTACATGAAAATGTACATCAAAATTATACAACAACTAAACTGCAGTTAGATAAAAATTTGGCAATAGCGGAAAATGAATCTATTGACAAAGCAAATCCATCAGTTTTGGATGAAATTTCTGAAATTAAAGAAATTGGTTGTAATTTAACTACAAATGCTACTACCGACGAATTCTTACGATATAAATGTAGCAATGTAAATATATCAACATTACAAGCAATGAATAAAATTTTAATTACTTCTCCAACTACAGACACCTATAAACCAACAACAGTAAGCGCTGAAGATATTTCACAGCAATATGTTTTAAGGACTAATTCACCTGAAAAATCTACGAATCAAATATATAGGAAGAAAAATTATTTTTCAAATAATGAAAGTTTTATGATGATAAGCACTGATTTAAAAGATCGGAACGTAATTAATACAACAGACACAAGTAATACTGAAGATCATAGAAGTATTACGGAAAAAGTAATAACTACACAAGAAGCTGTTAGTGACACTACGAAAATTACGCTTAGTAATCAATACAATGAAGATAATTCGGTGAACTTAAGAAAATATTTGACTACTGAGGGTAAACAGAATACCAGTACGTCAAAAATTGTGGAAGTTAATGCTACCCGTAAACAAACAATAAAGAGCGAGGAAAAGTCAATGCAATTAAAAAGCATGAATTTCAAAACCAACACGGAATCTTTAAAATCAACTGGAAAAACGAGTCGTGATAATAATGTTTTATATGGCACAGTTAGTATTAAAGAATTGAGAACAAAAACAAAATTAAATAAAATTAACGAGGTATCCACAATACCGTATTCTAAAGCATTATATATAGTCAACGACGAAAATAAAAAAGAGTTAAATTCGAAGAAAGTAACAGATGCTTTTATCAAAAGAAATTCGTCATCAAATAAATCAAAAGTAATGTCACCTCTTTCATATTCAACCAATAAGTTGATCACATTAAAACCATTCACAACAAAAGAAGATAGAGTAAATGAACACAGAAGTTCCGTTCATGAGAACGAAGAAACAACTACGTACTCTCCTCTAGTCCAAGACGTTATAAATGTGCCACATATAGTAAAAGGCCAATTAGAAACGACAACTATAAAAATTCGTGGAAAAATATTTTCTGATAACAAAGAATTTGTAAGTAAGATCTATACACGACATCCACCTCCTACTAAAACTACATTTCATAAAATATTACACGTCCCTGATGACCTAACCAAACAACTGCGGAATGGTGATAATCACAGTAAAATTGTAGCTTCAACTGAGCATGATCTAATCTTAGAGAAAGAACATCATCCAACGGTAGACGTTAATACAAATATACGAATTGAAATAAATGGTGCTCAGAAGAAAAACAGAACTTTTCAAGTATATCGTGAAACATATTCACCTTTATATGTAAATAAGGAAACAGAACATCCTGTTACACCTCAACTAAAATCAATATCTTATGTGTTAGATCAAAACCAAAGACAAACCGTTTTGAATAGAACTAATGATGATAAATACTCAATAAAGAACCTTGCTTCTACGGATACTTATAACCTGAGCAATCTTCTGACTTCAAATAGCACTAGTAAAACGACCAATATTATGGAACGAAATCACAAAACTACGGCATATATCGAACGTTATGTCATTGGAGATACCACACTGAAATACAAAGAATTTGAAAAACCATTTAATCCAGAGCATGGTAGTCTTAAAACGACAACTCCTTATAAACATAACAAATTACAAAAAAGGTTCCAGGTTAAAAGCAATAACAATAAATTGCGACCTTTTGATGTAGTTAATAATAATGTGAAAAACATTTCGCTAAATCAAACAAATCTAACAAATGAGAAAGTAACAATAATGAAACTATACAACAGCACAGGGCATGACGTAAAATATAATGATAACCAACATTATCCCGTACCATTTAGCGAAATAAGATTTAGATCAGAACAAACCAATCATAATGATACGTTAAGAATTGGAAACAGAAACAATAATAAAAACAATAATGGTAGACTAAGCCCGAGCATGAATTTTGAACCAACCAAAGGTATAAAGGAGGCCAATATACAGATATACAGCTCACACCTCCAAACACCAAGGATATCAGTAACAACATCAACACCGACTACAAAAATGATCAAATACAACACTTATCGACCAACCACGAAAGAAGATTTAGAACTTCTCAAATACCAAGACGGTATAACAATAGTCAAGACTCCCGTAAACAATCCCAGTAATAAAGTGAACACTCAAGAACCCTCATTAAATAACTCTTGCGCAATATTAAAGAATATCAGTGATAAGTTCAGTTCTAAAACAGAATTTATAAAAATTTTGGAAGCAGCAAATTGTACACAACCCCGGCGATTGAGTTTTACCGAAAACAATCATATGGCTGAAGAAAGAAATAAAAATACTCTCCAGCCAATAGAAATAATAAAAATCCCACATTCTGCAGAAATTGATAATAATCACCATCCTATTCTTGAAATTAATATAAATTCACCTCAAATAGGTACAAATGGTGGCTCACCACCTATGATTGAGATCAATGGAAATCCTCTTCCAATGGAAATTCACGGGCATTCGTTGCCATTAGATGGTCTAGGAAGTTCTCCTCAAGCAAACAATTACGCTTCAAATTTAGCCTCAATAAATCAGAATGTGCCATTTGAAAACGGACCTCATACGATTGTGGATCCCATGCAGACGATTCAAGACCCAACGCCACAAAACATTTATAGAAATTCACCTGGTTTAGAAATTGATAAAAATTCTTTGCCAAGACTAATACATACTTATTCAAAGGAAAATAATGGAAACACGTTGATGATGGAAAAGTCAGAGTCACCACAGAATATTGGAAACTTGCAACCAATGATAAACGACAAAACTATGATTACTTCGTCTACTTCGGAATTACAACAAAACAGCACCAATAGGCAGACTTCGCCAGTATTTTCATCAGTTCACAAGTATTTCCCAGAGTCATTAAATGATCCGTCATTCGTATCAACTAATATCGAGAATTCAGATGCAATCAGTGAAAATGAGAGATATTTTATTCCCATGGCAAATAATAACTTCAATTCACCATTACAGCCAACATATACAGAAGGAGATTCACCCACAATTGTCGAAAATAACTGGAGCCCTACCATAGTTTCTAAAATTAACAAAAATACGCTATCTATGATAAACACAAATATTAATTCTCAAACAGTGGTTGATAATAACAGGAACTCACCCACCAACGCTATCAACGGTAATTTGCCGGCGGCACAAGTAACGAATAATGGTAATTCAATTAGTAATAAATCTTCAGTGACTCCTGGTTTAGATAAAGCACCATCAATGGTGGATTACAATAAAAATAGTTTACCACAAAATAATCCTGACCTTCAATTTATTGAAAACATTAGAAAATCGCAGTCCGTTTTTGATACAAAACTGAACTCCGAAATATTAGTCAACAAAAACCGCAACTCGGTACAACCGCAAAACAGAATTAAGACACCGAAAACAACCGATATTTACTGGAATTCCCGTGTAAAGAACAAAGATAAACAAACAACTGCCATCAATGCCATCAGTACCCAGATTATGCCCACTTTAACTGATAAGAACAGGAGCTCGCCTCTGTTTGATGACAAGAATTTGTTCACTTTCATTTACAAAAATAAAAAACCATCTCCTGTAGACTCAAGAAAGGATAAACCACCAACTAGAACTACTAAAAACAACAACAAACATCCACGACCACTTTTAAACCTTTACGAAAATGCTCGTAAAGTAATAAATAAAAAGTTAGTAAGAAACCGAGAGGATCGTGTAATAAGTCATCCAATGATAGAAACAAATGTTATATCAATGCCGATCTTAGACACAAGAAGATCCGCTTCCGCCGCAGCGCCAGCCAACATGCCTTTTGTCAGTCTTCACAATGTAAAGAAGTCCCTGCCGATATCCAGGAATGACAGAAAGGGGCATCCGACATCAGAAATCAATAGAAATTCACACTTAACAGGAGGTTTACAAAAGAATAAACCTAAGTTTGGATCACTTTTAGATCCATTTGGGAGGAAAAATCCATATCCTCTAAAGCTGTTGCCCGTCAAAAGTCTCAAAACGCCAATGAAGCGGGTGAGATTGGGCAATCGAAGGATGCCGGTGATGACGATGAATACACAAGATTTCTTCTCACAACATCGGTATGTGACAGCGAAACCACCACCACTGATATTTAAAGCTCTGAAATCAGGTCCTGATTTCTCCTTATTACGACCTGTATTCAGAAACATCGACAAATCATCTACAAGATTTGATCGTAGACGTATACCGGTACACTTAAAACCAAAAGATTACGTAGTGCAGCCTGTTGACGACGACGAGAGATGGTACAAGAAAGAGCCAGCAGAGCAAAGAGTTAAGCAGGCTGAAGGGTTGACTACGAAAGTAAAAGAAAATAACAACATGCCGTCTGTCCGGCGACCAACGGTGAGGCCAAGTTTCTTGAAAAACCGAGTAAAGTCAATAAAGAAACGCTTGTTTACTGGCGACTACCACAGAGTGACGAGACAGCCTGCATACGATGAAGTGCTCGACGAGCCTGAAGAACCAGAAAAAGACAACTACAGCCCCGCTCCCTTCTATCACCGGAGAGACCACAATGACCAGGTCACCACTACAACTGCCAGGACACCACGACGCAGGAGAACTATATTCTTTTTAAGTCCAACTGTATCATATAACCAATATGTATAAGTAGTATTAATTAATCAATAAATATTACTAGTTGAAATGTTGCTTTATTGTATTACTTTGTGATATGTAGTTAATAAAATGTATTTAACTTTCTCAAACTGGTTTTAATTTAGATTTTGCGGATAAAATTATAGAAAATGTTGCCAATAAATGGGCAAAAATTACTAAAGGGAAAAAATGATCATCAAATTAGTGATGCATAAAAACAGAATGCAGTATGTAAGAATCTTACATAGGTGTTTATCAAGTTACCGTGAGGCCTGCCTACATAAGAGTATAATGATTGTCCCGTAGGTGACGGACTGGTGGTTAGACGACATGTACCTGAAGGTGCGTTTGCCGCTGCCCATCAACTCTAACCCTGGCATGGTGTTCCCTCGCCGTCACTTCGCCAAGATGGAGGAGGTGGCCGACTTGGGCGCACTGTTCATCGATGACCTTCTGGATTATAAGGAGATGCTGGACAGGTAAGGTCGACAAATAAGCAGAGCTGTATAAATAATATTTTCAGTAATCCAATAGATCCAATTATACTTCCTGGCTATCTCAACGTTTTACTTCGTATGACGGCATGACGTTGTTCAACTGCAAAACGGCAATTATTTATGCTACGAAGTGTAACAATTATATAGGTTACCTACATTATTTCATTCATTCATTGTTTCATAGTTTCAAAAAAAAAAACATAATTTCGGAGGTAGTCATCCGAAAGAAATTGGATTGGTGGTGAAAATATCATGAAATTATCGTCAAAATCAAGAAAATATAGCATTTTGCTGAGCCTGAACGGCTCGAAGGTTGATATCACTATCGTAAAAAAACAAAAGAATAATAGTAACTATAATCCCTCTTCCAGAGGTGAACTTCCCCTGGAGCGAGCCACCAGCCGTGAGAAAGGTCAGCCGCTGTGCATGGAGCAGTTCTATCGACTACTGGGGGTGTGCCGCATCCCAGAGGTGGGCAAGGATAGGCTGGAGCTGCCACCCGTCAGGCAGGGCTCTGAAGAGTCAGAGGAACTCATCGTGGTGGCCTGCAGGAACTACGTAAGTCCTTTATTTTTATTTCTTAACTTAAATAGGGTTCATGTAGGTATTTTACATGATCCAAATAAAATTAAAAATGTCGACGAGCTCAATGATTTTCATGCATGAGTCCGGAACCCAGCAAGTATCAAAATAACTTATTCACAATTATGTATAGTTTCTAAATTAAACGATTAAGGAAAACATCGTGAGGGAATCTGGAAACCTGAAAAATAATTTCCTATTCAAAGTTTGAAATCCGTAAATTTAAGCAAGTGTCGTTGATGATGATGAAGTAAAAATCAGTAATTTACATGGATGGCGATTGCCATTGACATGGCGACAGATTGATACGTAGAACCAATCAATCTATCGCTACGTCACGTCTAGATCGATGGGGCAAAAGGTTTATCGAATGGAGGCTATTAAAAATATAACTGACTTGGAAATAGTTCTATGATCATGGTGACCTCTGAAAGGTTGATCAGAGTTAGTTTTAAATTAATTAACTGCTTAACTAACTTATAACGGTATTCAGTCGACTCGTGTATCTATTTTCGAAAAAATAAAGACTAACTCACGTGAAATATTAAAAAAAACAACTACTTTAAATTTAATTTTCTTATCAGAACTGCAGTGTTATTCTGTAAGACTTCATTCTAAATTTCGAATCTGAATCCGCTGTGAGTAGTAGTACACTAGCGCTACACTTGCGAGTTGAACTAAATTGACAGCAACATTTTGATAGATAAAGTATGAGATGACGTTAAAAGTGTCATTCTCATCATCATCATCATCATCAGCCTATAAGTGCCCACTGCTGAGCAAAGGCCTCTTCTCACACGGAGAAGGTTAGAGCATTAATCACCACGCTTGCTCAATGCGGGTTGGCGATTTCAAACTTATAATTAGAAATTATAAGTCCAGGTTTCCTCACGATGTTTACCTTCACCGTATGTCAGTGGTGTCTAAATAATCATAGAAAGTACATATAACTCGGAAAAAGTCACATTGGTACTTGCCAGGTTTCGAACCCGCACCCTCATGCATGGGAAGCGGGCGCCTTAACCTCCGGGCCACCACGACTTAAGTGTCATTCTATAATGTAATTTCTCCGTCACTTCGACGCTCACTTCACACTCGAACAAGATTCAAAATCAAACAAATTTTATAGAATTGACGTGCTGGAGTTCTATTTATGAGCATAGTGCGCGGCGTGGCGACGTCGCCCATCCTAAAATACATTAATACAGTTGTAATACAACGAGACTAGTTCGGTAATCTATAGTAACGAACAAAACTCCATTAAGTCGTCAGCTGAGATGTAATTAAGTTATAACTTGGAGGCGCTGCGGTGCACTTTATCACTTAACCACATAAATTTGTTATGACTTGTCTCCAAAACCTTATAACAATAACTTATTCTATCTTTGTAAACTTTATTGTACTTTTGGTTAAGTTCATTATTTATTGAATATTTTAAATTTAGATCGAGAAAATACAAATCTAGAAAACTCGGAGAGATTTCGGTTACACACTCCTTGAAAGAAATCGGATGATAGATTTATAGCCTCAATTTTATTACCATAGAAGTAGTGCAAAGGCTACTTTCACGGGTGCAGCCAATGATGTATAAAACTATAGATACGTTGTCCGCGCTCTAAAATGACAACATGAAATGAAGGCAATTGACAACATCGCGCTTAGTTACGCACCAACCTGCCGCGCGACGCTACGTTTGTTTTTAATTATTTCGTGTGTGTAAACCTGTGCGAAACATAAAGAAAGCCTGTCGTTGTGTGTGTTCAGACGATGTACAAATTATACTCCAAAAGTTAAAGACAAAAATGTGTCATTTCATGCGTAAGTTCACCAAACAACCTATTTTTATTTTATTTTTTTCGACGCTTGCGCCCGCCTTCTTATGGCGGCCGGCGCATGAAGGTATAGTCACGTGCCGTTGGCATAACTGAAGATGTATATTTATCTCCCTCTAGCAAAGGCATTCCACTATACGATGTCATATTTTCTTTCCCTTTCTTTGCTCGTAGAAGTAGTTATCTAGTATTTTCGCCGTTTTTAAGCGCCGCGATGTTGGTTCATGACGTGTCTATATATAATACGTCATTGGGTGCAGCGGACTATATTTTCAAAGGTTCGGAAGTTTTGCTGTGTTGTCGGAAAAAAAAATGACAAAGGTGCTTTCATCTTTATTTTTTTTTTTTGTAATGGGATCTGTCTCGCCTAGTGATGATGCAACCTACGATAGGACACGCCTAACCATTAGCAACATACTCACTTGGGCTTAGAAGACAGACTATACCTTCCAGGAACTCAGACTCCAGCAAAGAATTCCGATGGTTCTGTCGATAAAACTGGAGGCGAATTGGTTTTTGCGTGTGGGTGGGATATCTGTCGTGAAGAGGTTATTAGTTGTACTTGTGTTTTATAATAAAAAAATATCGATTTTGGAAGTTTTTCGTTTCACTTATAGATGTTGGTATTGTTTTGTTTTTGAGGTTATAATGTTACTGATGTTTGAATGCTCTTATCAATATTTTTTAAATTAGGTACATAGCAAAAAATCATGTTCTACTTGAACAGGTAAGTATTAATAAAGTGAGGACTAGTGAAGACATACCCCAATAAGAGAGTCACTCGTTGATTTCATTATTTATTATTTTCAAGAGAGAATCAATTAGAGTAGTATCCTCAAATCATAATAAAAAAAATATCCAGGTGTGAGCATTGTTCACGATCCGACACCGACGCTGTTACGAACATTATTGTATGCCTCTATTGTTTCTCTCGATAACACATTTATCGAGCACCTTGCTCTCAAGTCGATTACGAATTCAAATCTTAATTTTTGTTTAAATACATTGCGTGACTCAACTTAATTAAACTGCCATAATAGATTTTATCGTATTAATATTTACTGTTTATCGGATATAATATTTGCTAATACTTATCCCCTGCATTTACCTAGTAAGCTTTTGAACTTGCCCTTGTCATCAGTCAATCATCAGCTACAGGACTTAAGTTTATATTTAATATAAACTAATATAGTAACAATTAAAAATAAGAGTAACTGAGCACAAGCACACGCACATCAAGACATCATTATATCTGAGAATACTCAAAATCTACTTAAGGTACCTTTGAAGTATCATCCCTTACTAAAAATATTCTATCTGACTTCAGATGACCTTCAAAAACATAGTGGTGTTAATTAAAATACATAAAAATTAAGCAAGTTGTATAAAAGATACGTATAAAACTTTTTAACCTACAATTATGTCACCAGTTCTACCCCATCCCGGTGAAAGCAGCAGACCGTGGAAGACTGACTCCTGGTGAGATACAGGCTCAGCTGCTACATGCCATGGTAGACGCTGCTGGGGCACCACCAGCGCCAAGGGTGGGACTCCTCACATCCATGAATAGAGACCAGTGGGCGAAGGCCAGGGAACAGCTTATAAGAGGTAAAATTGTAGTTAGTACAGTTCTTCCCCCTCCCATTCCTCAATCCTTAAATCCCTAACAAGCCACAAGGGCCCGGCAATGCAGTTGTAGTAACTCCTTAACTCCTTGTGTATTACGGGTGTCAATGGGCGGCGCCGATTACTTACCATCAGGTCGGTCGGTTAGTATCGGTCTGCTCGTTTGCCGACCAATGCTATAAAAAATACTATAGATTACACAGGGCAGCACTTGGATTGTCAATAAGGCACCGCGACCTCGGCCCAGAGCAGGAGAAGGAACGGGGGGGTTTTAGTCAGTAAGAGTCTGACACTCCCTCCCGCCCGGCCCTGGGCGAGAGAAGACATTGGATGATTATCCCCTGAAAAAAAAAGCACTTAGATTGTTAAATAGTTCTATATGTGGTGGAATGTGATATATGTAATAATAACTATAACATAAAAAGAAAATTGTCAGGGGTCACGTCACAGAAAAATACACTACAACTTAACTTTTCGTTCCCAGATGAGATGAACCGTATGAACTTAGAACTGATCTCCCGTGCACTATGCATCCTGTGCCTCGACGAGGCGGGTGGAGACAGGGCAGACACTGATGCGGACACCAACGCCATGCTACGTGCCATGCACGGAGCCGGCACCAGACATCACTCCGCCAACCGATGGTTCGACAAAACTGTGCAGGTACGCACTTGGAAAACTATTTCTTTTGTTTGACGTTGAATCTTTCAAAGTCAAAGTCAAAATCATTTATTCCAAATAAACCATAAATAGGTACTTTTGAAATGTAGTAGGTTACTAGATGTGTACATCAATATGAGATGTGGTATAAGAAATAATTTTCGTGTTTCCAAGTTTCAATTAAGATTTTCGGAGTAATTCTGGAGTGAGGATGTAGGATTACGAATAAAAGATAAATATAATATAAAAACCATAATGTTTTTCATAATAGTACTTGGAAGATCGGAACATAAATCCCAATAATGACCTTGTTTCTTTCTTCAGTTAATAATATCGTCAGATGGCACAATAGGCATGTGCTATGAGCACAGCGCGGCGGAGGGGGTGGCAGTGGTGCGTCTGGCAGAACGAGCGTTGGCTAGAGCAGAGGTGGCAGACAGACCTGCTCCTCCGCCAGCACTCCTGCCAGCTCCTCAGGCCATGAAATGGAACGTACCACCCGATGTACAGAGGACCATTGAGACAGCTGCTAGAGATCTTGATCGGTGAGGAGTTTGTTAATTTTTTTCTAAAGCTTACTGAAAGACCCGATACTACTTGTGACTGCAAAGTTGGTGTGGTGTCTGGGCAACTGGCTGCTGCACAAAGTGTCGCAGGTTCGATTCCCGCACGGAACAACTCTTTTGTTGTGTTATTTACAAATGTTGTTCTGGGTCTGGGTGTGATGTGTATGTGAAATTGTGTTTGTAAACTCACCTACTTAATAAAATCCTAGTGTAAGGTAACTTCTTTAAAAAAAATGTGTACAGCTCTCCCCGCAATATTTTAAAAGCTAAATGGGCCCAATATAGCACATATTTGATCAAAATTCAACTCTATTGCCTACTTATAAAAGCGTTTTGTCAAAAACAGTGCCATCTCGGACCTGGACCACAAGGTGTACACATACCGCGGCTACGGGCGCGAGTTTATGAAGTCGTGCCGCACCAGTCCTGACGTCTACATCCAGCTCGCGCTGCAGTATGCTTACTACAAGTGAGTTTAGGATTTCTTTGGTTTTTTTAATCAAGTTCTTCAAATAGCGTACTTATTAATAAAATAAATTAATGCTAATAGCTGCTAGATGTGATTACATTTGATGATAACGACATACTCTAACTAACTGAGAAGCTTCAAAATAACGACAGGCTCTTATTTATGAGAAGGGGGTGATACGATATGCAATAACCGACTGCAAATAAATCGACACTCGAATGGAAGAACTTAGGTTCAGCTTCTAGGTCGAACAAAGTACATACCTGTTACAAAAGATTTTTAATGAATTTTTCACCTATGAAACTAACACTGACTAAAAGTCACCCCATTCCCTCTCCGGGCCGGGTCACAATAAATTTTTCCACTGGTCTCCAGCAGCGTCCCCTATTAAATAAAGCAAACACTAAAAGTGTAATCTTAAATGGTATCTGGAATGTTGCCAAAGGTAATTTTGTCACTAGTTTCGTCTCTTATTACAGACTATTTAGAAAAAATGTGAGCATTACAATTTCCTGTAGATATGCTTCTTTGTCTTTCTAAACATCTATGCTCCTCACTCAGGATGTACGGCTACCTCGTCACCACTTACGAGTCGGCGTCACTGCGTCGGTTCCGCAACGGTCGCGTGGACAACATCAGGTCAGCTCACGGCGCCGCGTTGGCCTGGGCAGCCGCCATGTGCACTGCGGAGACACCACCACTCAACGACGGCAGTGATGAAGGACAGAAGAAGGTTTCTTTTAACTTGTATGGAGTGAGTAGACTAGTGTCTTGGCCAAAGATGTTACTAGCTTCCGCCCGCGGCTTCATAAATTCATCTTGATAAAAAGTTGCCTGTCTTATTCCGGAGTGTAGATATCCTATGCCTGTACCGAATTTCATCTAAATCCGTTCAGCCGTTTTGGAGTGATTGAGTAACAAACATCCTAACATCGTAACTTTCGCATTCCTAATGTTAGTAAGATAAAATAAGATAGCATAGTACTTTAAGATACTTCAAATAAATCTATTCTAAAACATTCTCATTTAACACCAGGAACAAAAGAAGCTTGAACTGTTTGAAGAAGCGGCTCGCAAGCAGACGTCTATAATGGAGGCTAACATCCTAGGCAAAGGTATAGACAACCACCTGCTTGGACTGAGAGAAGCGGCGCGGGAGTCACTGGGTGAGCTGCCGCCGGTCTTCTGCGATACTACCTACAAACAGATGATCGAGTTCAAGCTCAGCACCAGTCAGGTACGTGGTATACTTAGGTATAAACGGAGTAGACGTCAACATAAGGCTCCACCTTGGTACTAAAATCATTATTTTTACCTCCTAATCCAAGATGCATTTAAGATCTAGTTTTTCAATAACATAATGCGATAAAGAATCATCAAACATAGAAATACTGGAGGAGTAAGTGCGTTCCTGGCCTCTTAGAGACTGGCAAATTGAGGATTAACGGGATTAAGGACAATATGTGCGCGAACGCCAACATTCGCTTGGGGTTTGATGAATTAAACCTGTAAAAAGTGCAAGAAATTAACAGCAAAACTTTAAGGTTGTAAGATATTGAACGTATTTTCAAATTTACCTCCACCCCAGGTGGCGACCACGACAGATGGCACATTCATGGGCTACGGAGCAGTCTGCCCCGACGGGTACGGCTGCAGCTACAACCCAAAGAAAGACAGCATCATCTTCTGTATATCCTCGTTCACATCATCCAGCGTCACCAACACAGAGGCCTTCAGGCAATCCTTGGAGGAGGCTCTTGACTCCATGAAGCTCATGTTCCAAGCTCGGAAGGTGGACAATTAAAAAAGGAAAGTCGAAAATAAAAATACTCCTTAGTAAAGAAGTTTGCAAGTAGAGAAATGGCACCAGCATGGGCTTGATATGATAAAGGCATTCTATATGCAGGCAGGCTGAGTATGTTAGCGCTAGACAGAAATGATTCGATATAATTCAAAATGTTACATTTATGCGAGTAGGTTCGGTGTTTAAGTGTTGTAAATCCCTCCCACCCGGGTGTTTGATTTATATATAATATACATAGGTCGGGATAAAATATATATAAAAATATAATGCACGATTTAAAATCAATTATACTTTGCTAAAAATTAAGCTAATACGAACTGATTTTTAAAACCTTTTCAAATTAATAGGTATAGTATATTTCCCGTTGATTTATTGCAACTATTTACAATCTATGAAACTTGTTGTTTATTATTCGAATATTATATTATATATTGTAAAGTTTTATCATAAAGTTAAATTAATGAAACTAAAACATATCATGAGAGGACTTTTAAAATGTTATTATGACTAAGAATCTTCAAGATTTTAATCGTCGATGGTAATTAAGATAAAATGTTACAATTTTATTATAATAAACGTAATCATGTCTTTAAAATATACATAAACATATATGTATCTGTAAGAAAACAAACACTGTGATTATTAATTTGTTAAATTATGTTCATTGTAAAAGTATTACGCACAATGTGCTTCAATTAATTATTGTTAAGTTTATAAAAAACTAACTAAAAAAAAATTAATGACGTTTTTTAAAACGGTATTATAAATATGTTATATTTTATAAGTATAATAAATATGCATAATCAAAGGTTTAAGGAAATTTATATATCGGCAGTTTTTTCTCAGTTAAAAATCTACTATGTCAACTTTCCAAACGAAACAAAATATTATACAAAATCATACTTTCCATTAATGTTTGAAGGGGTACTCAATTTAATTAATAAAAGAAATTGTTTCATTTGATGCAATAATATTAAGACGCTACAAGAGCGGGAGATCTAACGCAAAATTCATAAAATGTATCTTTCTTTTTACAGTGGGATAAAAATGTTAAATTTGATCAGGTGTATCTATTGTACCCTATCCTACCTTATTGCAAACGTGCATTTATTTAGTGGTTATTAAATTTAAACAAAAATAGATTCATACATAATGTTATTAGAGAATTTAGTATCATCATTGAATAATTAGGTACAATGTTATCTTATAGTTTAATGCTACTTCCACTTTTTATGAGTGTCACGTATTATTATTATTATTATAAATAATAGTTTTAGTAATCATTGCTATAGTTTTATCAAATTATTGCCGTTCTGAAGTCTTATGCATCTATAGAAATTTATTGACAAATGTACTTAGTTTATTTATTAATATTACTTACTAGTGTGTCTATGAATTGTAAAGCCAATGCTTTCCTAGTCAATACTATACTATAATAATTGTACTTTGCAAACTTAGAATATTGTAGAGTTTGTGAAAAACAACAATCGTAAACTGTAGACTAGGTAACTAGAAGAATATTGAACAAAGCGAAAATGAGAGAAGTTTAAAAAAGATCTTATCTATATGGTTTTCTTCAAAGAATAGTACAATATTCTTTGAGTATATATTTATAAATGTGAGTCAAATGAATTGTCATGTAACGTGTATTTCTTAGGCTTGCACGAAGCTTGTGCTAGAGCCAACATAGAAATAAAGTTATTATAAAATGGTCATATCATGTCACTTATCAAAATATAGTCAAAGAATTTAAATAGAGATTTAGGTAGATGCTTTAGAGTCTATACACTTTATATTTATACATTTGTTGTTGATCTATCTCAACTATATTTTAAATTGTAGATTAAAAAGTATTCGGCGGATTGACACAAGAACTTACTTCGATTGTTTTTGTGTCCTTCAATAATAAATACTTATCGAACACTGTGAAGTTAATGATACTAGAAAACAATGTTACATTGACCAACAGGCGTTTAAAAATAGAGTTTACTTTAAAGCATCCTCGATCGATGAGCATGCATGAAAAGATTAATGAATTTAGAATAAAACAGAAGAGTTAATAACAGGAAAAAGTATGAAGATATGATATGTACCTATGTATGTATAATTATATACAATTTGAAACTCTATGTGACATATAATTATATAAAATAATTATACAAATATCAATGGTTTAACGAATGTGACGTCACCGTAGCAAGGTGCTACGAGATTACTACGACGTAGCTACGAAGTTAAACAGTCGCCGTAAGTACTTATATGAAAAGTGTTAGCTAATGTCTTGTTATGCCTTTATCTTATTATATTATATATATATTATATAACTTGGTAACTAAGGCAAGAAAGGACATCACAGTTATTGTCTACATATCGATTTATCAGTCGAAAACAAAAATTCTATGTCAAAAATTTTATGATTCTATTTTGAAAGAATAACAAATGCTGTTAGGTAAATAAACTATAGGTAAATCATTACCTAGTACATAGAGTTATATTGATCTTACTTACAGCTGAAAAGCTTTAGAAATGGTCAGAAGCAAGTGTAGAGACGAAAATATAATTACAATGTGAACTATGCATCATTGTAATTCATTGGGGTATTAAACTTTTAACACGTTATAAAATTCCATATCAAAGTTATTTAAAGTCAAAGTCAAAGTCAAAGTCAAAATTATTTATTTCAATTAGACCCATACAGGCACTTTTGAACGTCAACACAACTTTAAAGATACAAAGTGTCAGTCTGTCGGTCAGTCCTTTTAGTGAAGCTATTCGCTCGTTCCAAAGTGTAGATTCCGATGGAGAAGAACGAGCAAGAAACTCCATGGTTACTCTTTTAAAATCAGTGTCACATAAACATTCTTTGATACATTATTTAGTTAGTTTGAATATGTGAGAACAGTGTAACGCGTGTATACAGAGAAACATAAAAAGAAAATAACCTTAAGGACAATAGACAGTCCGGAGCTGACCAGTCCCAATTGACGGCGCCCGTTCACGAGCATGACACGTACACCAGCATCGCCCAACTCAACCATAATATAGGGAATCGAGCGATCCAGTGACCGTGCCACCGCCAATGTGACCTTTGAGTGAGCATGACAACTCCAAGCTGACATATGGACCGACATTCTGCTAGTCTAACTAATTTTAATAGGTTACAGGGCACTCACATTTACAAATTTATCAAGTTTAACAATAAAAATAGCATGGTTACAAATTTACAAAATCTAAGAACTTCCGTTCAAGCAAAGATCCACTGGAACATTATTTATATTCGTGTAGGTATATTATCCTGTGGAGCAGGACCAGCCCGTCTCCAAGCATCCTTATCCTCAATATAATCACTCAGTTTGTAATATGCTTTTTTACACAAAGTTTTCTTTATACATAATTTAAAATTTCTTTCATTTAATTGTTGTATTTCGCCTGGGATTTTGTTATAACACTTAACGCTGAATCCCATGAACGACTTGTGTACCTTTGCCAATCTAAATAATGGCTGACACAATCTATCTCTATGTCTAGTTTGGTAATTATGTCTGTCTGATACCTTATCAAATAATATTAAGTGTTTCCTAACATACATTATATTTTCATAAATAAACTGACCGGGCACAGTCATAATATTGATCTCTTTAAATTTATCTCTAAGAGATTCGCGAAGCCTTAGGTTGTAAATTGCTCTGATTGCACGCTTTTGCAAGACAAATATAGACTCAATGTCAGCAGCCTGTCCCCACAACAAGATGCCATACGACATAATGCTATGAAAGTAGCCGAAGTACACCAGTCTTGCAGTGTCCACATCTGTTAGCTGTCGGATCTTCCAGACAGCAAATGCTGCAGAACTCAACCGTCCTGCCAGAGATGTGATATGGGGCCCCCATTGTAGTTTTTCATCTATGGTTATACCCAGAAAAGTAGTCTGTTTTACAAATTCCAATTTCTTGCCGTTTAATAATATGTCACATTCGTTACTTTTTACATTTGGTAAACTGAATCGTATACACTTTGTCTTTTTGTCGTTTAGAACTAAATTATTAACTGTAAACCAGTTATGAACCTTCGTAATAGCATTATTTACTTCGTCATAATTATTTGTCCGTCTATTTATTTTAAAAATCAACGATGTGTCATCAGCAAATAATACCATTCCCGGTTCTCGCTGAAATAAATGAGGTAAGTCATTTATGTAGACCAAAAATAGGAAAGGACCTAATATCGAGCCCTGTGGTACGCCCATAGATATGCTAGCACCCTGAGAATTAACTTTGTTTACCTGTACTTTAAGCTGCCTATCCTGGAGGTATGATTTTAATAAATTGAGTGAAGCCCCTCGAATACCATAGTGTTCCAACTTTAGCAACAGTGTCTCGTGTTCGACGCAATCAAAAGCCTTGGACAGGTCACAAAAAATTCCAATAGCGTCGTGCGACTCCTCCCACGAGGCAAAAACACGCTTAATTAAAGTTACACCGGCGTCAGTTGTGCATCGACCTTTGGTGAACCCATATTGTTGATCATGAAAGATGGAATTCATGTTAAAGTGACGCAGCATCTGAGAAAGCATCAGCTTTTCAAACACCTTACTAAGCACCGGTAAAATAGATACCGGCCTATAATTATTAGGATCGGTATCATCGCCAGATTTAAACAGTGGAACTACTTTGCTATGTTTCATCAAATTTGGAAAAACTCCCTGATCTACACTTCTATTATAAATTAAAGCTAAATGAGGCGCTATAGCTTCTATAAAAGCCCTACACACTGCAACAGACATTCCCCAGAGATCCTCTGTAGACTTAACTTTAATGTCTTTAAACGCCTTTATTACTGATTGGGGGTTTGTGTACTGAAATTGGAAATCAGAACGGCATTCTTTAATATTTCTTTTGAGAAGACTAATTGAAAGTGCCGGAGATGATTCTAAGTCCTTTGTAGTTTCAATGGGGATATTCTTGAAAAAAAATTCAAATTCTTGTGCAACTTCCCGATTTACACTAACATGTCCATTTCCGGTATTTAAATTAATTTCCGTGTTATGCAATTTATGTCTGCCTGTCTCATTGTTAATTATTTTCCATGTAGCCTTTGTTTTATTTTCAGCTTAATCTTACGGCTAATGTAAAGAGATTTTGCTTGCTTACAGACCATTTTAAATATTTTTGCATATTTGGACACATGCTTGCTAAAGGCTTCGCTTGTATTAAATGGTTTCATACCATATAGTTCAAATAACTTTCCCCTACTTCTACGAATACCGGGGGTAGCCCAGTCACAGAATAAAAACTATTATACAGCCAAAGAACATAGAAAATAATTAAAATATTAATTGTGTAGGTATAGAATAGTTACGAAGCACAGTTATGAAATATACTAATTATGTAGAAATATGAAATTAAGAATCGATGTCGTATCTTATTTCAATGTTGTATTTACATATAAAATATAAATTGTTCCCAAATATAATAATAGTCTTTGTTATAGCTCAGCTATTATTTAAAAGCAATGTTTTTAAAACAAGAACCGATGAATTAAGTAATTAATTAAAATATATATTATATTAATTTAACTTAAATATTAAAATATTAAACCGATTGTCGGTTAAAAAAAAAGTTTTAATTACATAAATTAATATTAATATATAATATTATAAAATGCTTATTAATTGTATGATTAAAAATATTTCTGAAATAAATTTAATTTACGAAATGTTCATGAATAATGAATTAAAAACGCTTTTTATATAAATCAAAGTCAATGTTATTGATTAAAAATTAACATTATTATTATATGTAATAAATAAAATACGTATTTATGTGTTGTTATGTCGCTATTTGGGGACAATTATCAATTTATTTAAATGTAAGATACTAAATGTCAATGCTGTGGTGATAACATAATATTTAGATTTGTAAAATAAATTAAATATTAGCTTCGTATTTATTTATTAATATTTAAATCAAAATCTCGGAAAAATATGTACTTAATATATAATTCATTCAGATTTTTCTTTCATATTTATTATGCTAAATGAATTTTTTTCTTCGAAATTTCTTATCACTCAAATACTTTATCAAAGATTTATTGCTAATAATATTAGTTGTAATAATTAGGGTATTATAAATATTAAGAATGAACGTATACATATCATCAGCGTCGACTGTCATGTTCGGCATGGCCAAGAATATCAAAAACATATCAAAGAATTTAGATATAAGTGTCCTAGTCTTAATAAATAAAACATATCAAATATATTAATGGTATACCTAAGGATTCGCTGAACGTCAATTTGTCAGTATTTTTATCTAAAATTGCTTGTTAAGTTTGTATATTAGGAGAATTTTTAATATATATCAATTAATTTATAGCATATTATAAAAAAATGTGTATATTTATAACAAAAAATATTTATTTTAAAAATGTCTTGTGATATTGTATTTTTGAAATTATTTTATTTCTTTTTGTATTGGTATGATTACCTATTAAATTTTATAATAAATTAATTAATAAAAATATCAGTATTTATAAGAATATATCGCTGATAAGCGTGCCGCTTAGCACAAAATAAAGATGCGTGTGAGTAAATTGTGAGATGGAGAATTTAATTATATAATTAAAGATATATTATTTGTTGAGATTACGAGTAATAGAAGTAGGTACGAAGATATATACCTATAAAATATATAATATCAACCTCGTTAAAGACCCTTCTGTATATGGTTTGATATTGTAATTAATTTATAGCAGGCGCAAATCAAAATTCAACGAATTTATTTAAGTACTTAATTAATAATAAAAATTAAGTACAATTATTAAAATTTTTTCGTAAATTATATTTATTAACATTTTTTCTTATTTAAGTAATAAAACATTTATGTTGGTTGGATGATGGTGTGTGTATAAAAAAATAGAAAGTTAAAGATACATATCATATAAATAAAAAAAAAAATGTTTATATAAAAATACATACCTAGATATATAAATGTCGCACCAGCGTATACTTATTATAGATATAGAAACTTATACAAGTCTATAGTTATTATTGTTGTCTTATATCGATGTTACTTTTAGAATAGAGAAACACGCCAAGCTTTTACCCTATTGTAATAAAATATTACTTATTACATATATTATACACACTTTATGACATTATATACGATTCCTGAAGAAGGTGCTCCCACTTTCTAGTTATCCATTAATTTCTTGCATCATAGAAATTAGCCAAGATATAATACTGAGTTCTAAGAATCCATTTGTTATGGAACATGATTGAATTATAGACAAAAAGTATCTATATTGTGAACTGTATTAGTGCATATACAATTGATGATATGGGGGCACTTTTTAATGATACAATTACACCATTTGCGAGAATTCGGTGGGGGTGTACTTAAATTTGTACTTAGATATCGGTTTGTATTTAGATGTGGGATTGTATAGTTCAAGGAGCGTAGCTACAAGGTAGAGAAGGAATAGTTTTGTATACAAGTTACGGTATAAAAATAGTCACCAGCAAAATGCTTTGAAAACTTAACATTTTATAACTACTCAAGAGGGTAAAGCACTCATTTACATGATGCAAGTTGCTTACCTGTTGCATGCAGATTAACTTACTTAGATGTTCTAAATGACACATATGTAAGCCTTAACTAAATTCCCATTCTATATGAGGAGGCGTTGCTATGGCAACCTAACTTGTTTAAAATTGTCTGGTTGGTAGCTATTTTTATATCGTAGATCGTAGGTAAGCATTATTTGAAAGATATGAATACGCGTGTAGCACTTGCACAGAGGCTCGAATTGACAAGTTGCGTAGGTATTGGTGTTCCTAGCTCGTGTTATCACTGTTGAACGAAAGTTTGTAAAGTAAAAAAAAGTGTAAAAATTTCGAAAAATTATATAAAAAATTGATGTTTATGTATGTATAGATATTGTCTTTAATCTGTTGTAAACTTTTAATGTACCCTTGTGACTTATCGGTAATGTAAACATATCAAGCTTTTATAGTATATACGAATTATATTATCTACACTTAGATATTTAATGTTAAATATATTATTAGAATGTCACAGTTACCTGTTCGTATGAAACCATTGTGAAATTTTATCAATAGAACAACATGATTGACAAACACTAACGAAAATCGACAGCTTGTCAAGTTATTTGGTATGCTTGTTAGAATTACTGAGTACAGAGAAAGTAGCTATTAGTACAGAAAAATATATGAATTTCTGTAGGTACCAACACTAACAAAAATGTTTAAATCACTGCTAAACGTTTAAAAACGATCTTAATGATTTCCTATTTGATAAATCATTGTAAAATATTGTAGATAATTGTATGTTTGTAACATACCATCTACATTTACATGGCAAGGTAAAATGTACCTATATGGATTTTTCAAAGTTTGTAACTGCATACCGCTAAATTTATTCGCACAAAAAAACTATGAATGTTTAATGTTACGACTCTGTACCTTTTAAAGGTTTTCGTACCGGCTGGCATACCAAAAACTTGTTGCAACTTTATCTGATTAACAAACGAATGAAATTAATTTAATAAAATTTGTAGTGACTAGTTAAAGATTTGATGATTTGGCAGAATGTCTCACTGTTGAAATTTAATATGGCGACAAAAATATATTATCTATTATACTGAAATCTTATGTATCCGTGTCAATTGAATGTTGCTCTCAATAAATTGGATTTTCCCGTTTTACCTTTGTTTTATTTTTTAATAGCAACCTGCCACAGCTTCGCACGAATTCAATACTGAATTATTTGCACTATTTAATGCATGTAAGCCATACATAAAATCCTTTCTCTTCAATCACTCTCTATTAAAAAATTGAATCAAAATTCGTTGCGTAGTTTTATTGATATTTTTGCTTTTCTTTTCTTTATTAGAAAAAACGTTGCCCCACTTTAGGATTTTCTCCTGTGTTGTGGGTGCGTTTACAAACATACAATGTCACATACACATGACACCCAGACCCGAAACAACAATTTGTGGATCTCACAAAGTGGTATTCCGTGCGGGAATCGAACCCGCGACACGTTGCACGGCAGCCAGTTGCCCAGCCACCGCACCAACCGTGCTGTCAAGCCGATTTAAACATATATGGGGATATAGGGACGGTGAGACCGACTGTATGTTATACTATGAAGTATTACAGTATCTATTATACCACACGTATATTCTGAGTTAAGTATAACCACGTACTGCTGACCTATTTAAAAAAAAAGAAAATTTTATTATACATATATTGTTGAATTAAAAAAATTATTCCCTTGATAGACATTATTATACAGCTGCGTATGAACGAAGTTATTTAAGCAAACGAATTAAAAAAATATGAGTAGATAAACAACATTTGCTTTGAATGAAAAACACCGTGAGGGGAAACCTGGACTTTGTAGTTTGTAATTATAAGTTTCAAATCGCCAATCCGCCTTGACTAGCACAAGGCGCATTGGCGATTTGATCTCGTGGTGATTAATGCTCAAACTTTTTCCGTGTGAGAAGTGGCCTTTGTTCAGCAGTGAGTACCTACTGATAGGCTAATGATGTATATCCAGGGCAATAAAAACAACACAAAATATATTCAATAGATTTTATTCAACCAGGATTCCATTTCTTTGCATAATCTTATCATTGCGCGTTTTTACACATAGTGACGTCATCATACATAAGCTACCACTTTAGAAGTGCACTTACAACAAACGATACTTGTACTTATAACACATTTACAATTTATGAAAAATAAAACTCTATTCCGTAGTAATAAGTATTAAAATATATTTTTCCATTTATATTTACAAGATAAAAATTTGTTCGAGGTCACTTATTTGCTACTATATTTCTTCCAAGGTAAATCTGTTCATTAAATTTGAAATGCATTTTAAATATTAAAACATCACGCCTGCTTTCTTTACAGTACAGCTTCATTTTTTACACTCAACATTGAAGAACCTATTGGGACCGTGCCACACCAATTACTAAGATAAGATTCCCAGCATTAAAAGGCCGATTTATCTTGGAATCGGATGCCAAAACTCCGAGCTACGCAGTCTAAATACGACTGCTATATAAATAACAGGCAGTGAGGAATATAAATGTACATACACAGTTCAAATTCTCTTCATTGACAATATTAAAATGCGACAGACTTAGGCCTCGTACTTAAACACACGCGGGACGTTGTTAGGCCTATGATAACCTCACTGCCAGCGTGGAACTCAAAGCTAACGATGGGTTTTTAGTCCGAAAGAGTCTAACGGTCATTATCATTGATCTAGTGTTGCTTTATCATCCCACCTAGGACAGACGAAGCCATTGAATTATTATTAGCCATAAAATAAGCGTTGATATACGCCCTTGTCCGAAGAGGCTTCATGTAACAATGCCTTCAAACCGTTCTTCGCTTCAATTAGTTCTCTTTACAAAATAAAAACTGAAATAAACGCCAGTGACACACACATTTTTTGGTATTTCTTCCGTATATTCTAATGGCACACAATTTTAATATTTATGGCTCATTTATTAGCAATCTATTTCCAACCAATTACAATTACAAAATATTAAAATTACAACGTCATCTTACAATATTACCCTAGGGAATCATATTCCGAATGTTCAAATAGAATTATAGACACAATTGCAATAACTATAAAGTACAATTTCCTATATAATAATAAAATACATCTCCATTAAAACTATCTCATACGAAATTCATCTAGTTACTAGTAAAAAAATGCACGATTTAATTAAAAATAAATAGTTTTAGTGATTCGTCATCACAGATCGGAACGTTCGTAGGAAGGTATTAACAGTTCATATTGTAACATGTCAATAATAAAATAGAATACGCATAGTTCCATAATACATTTCAAAAAGTGTTGAAATCTTTCGAATACATTACATAAAAATGAACTCTTTAACAAACTCCACAAGATATAAATTGCAGTGTTCTAAATTATTTTCATCCAACAGAATTCCATACACAAAGAATTTAGGCAAAATGGTGATAGACTCCGGAACAATATTGTCTATTTCCTACCAATAGGCCAATATTAACCTTATAGTAACATTTCGCTAATAAAATTATTAGATCCGTGTGATAAGGAACGTATCTCAAAAAATATAATTACAAACGAACAATAACTACAAATGTAACACCCTATATAACCTTGCTTAGCCAATTACCGCGTGATACTCATTAACAAAATACACAGGGTGTTTTAAAATATTGTTTTGACATAAAATCTCCATTTACTACATTATTCGTGTAAATATTTGTAAGTAAGTGCGTTTATACACAATACATGTATCACTATTTTTAATATAGACCTTTGTACAGATCTGTTAACTGGCCTAGAAGTCTAGATTTGACTTCAAATAGTCTAGAATAGTACATTTCATTCTAACTTCTTAGACTAGTCCTCTGCATAGTTTTTTCATAATGTATACATAAGCCGAGTGTATTCTTACATACGTTTATGAGATAAGGAACCCAGGTTCACAGTTGCACTCATTTTCATCGGATTTTACCTGAAAAGATGGACACATAATTTAATACTAGATGTGGCTCAATGTCATAAAATATTTAAAAAATAATCTCAGTACTTAAATAATTTGACGTCACAAAACCGTTCTCTAACAAAATTGTACGATTCATTTATTTATTTATTTATACATAATGACTTTCTCACGTGAATAAGCCTAACAGTACGCGACACACAAACTGCTCATGAATTAGAGTCCCGTTATGACTCGAAACTAGTTGAGCTTCTCAGTTAGATCACGTAAGTAAGGTAACTCTGTCTGTCTGTCTGTCTTTTCTTCACGTCTAAACAACTAAACAGATTTCTGTAAAATTTGGTACATACATAGTTTGGAACTCGAGAAAGGACATAAGATATTTTTTATACCAATAATCTGCAGGAAGTCACTATTCCACGCGGACGGAGTCGCGGGCAAAAGCTAGTTTTCAATAAAAAATTGAGTACCTACTTAATTGAACTCACCATAAGGAAATGATGCAGGGTAAGTGTCTCGGCTCTCGGTCTCAAATCGGGGTCGTGTGTGAGGCAGGAGAGACAGAACTCCTGGCCCTCGTCGGAGAGGGTGTCGGGGATCTCTGGCCGACCACCTGACCCCACCAGGAACATTATCTGGTAGTTGCTGTCGTACTGGGAGAACGGGCGCTGAGGGAGGAAATGTTATATTAGTCGTGTTTCTTGATTACCTTAGAGTTACAAACATCAGGACATTAACACAACACACACAGTTAAAAATGGAAATAGTCTAATTTTAATTAAAAAAACAACAAACTTAAACTGTATTAGAAGGAGAAACGATAGTTTATAATTGCTTAATTTAACCAAAAAAAACCTTTTTTCTAAAGTTAGAAAAAGAGTATATTTCATGAGCTTCATTAGAAGTTCGATTGACAGATGCAATGTTTTTTTTATAAACCTGCTGCCGCATTCTTGATTTTCTCCTTTGTCGTGTGGATTAAGGAATTATATTGGAAAAATGTTGATCACACAAAGAGTTTCGTGCGGGAATTGTATCCAAAACGCATATGGATTGGATTATACAATCAAATAATATTGTGTATATGTATGTATTAAAATAAATAATGGTCTGCGGATCTCACCTTTCCGGACGCCATCTCAGTGACGACGCAGCCGAGCGACCAGATGTCGGCGGCGCGCCCGTGGCCGGACGACTTCATGAACACCTCGGGGGCCATGTACGCTATAACACAATATAATCATGTTGAGAAACTAGTCTGATTATTAATTAATATTTAAAGTGTAGGTATAATACTGCAGAAACAGTTAATAAGATATTTTTCAACGTCTGGTGGCAAGACGGTAAAGTCGCCCGCTTCTCATGTATGAGGGTCCGAAACCTGGTGAGTACCACTGTGACTTTTTCCGATTTATACATATGAACTTTTTAAGATTATTTAGACACCACTGGCATACGGTGAAGAAAAACCATCGTGAGGAAACCTGGACTTATAATTTCTGCTTTTAAGTTTGAAATCGCCAATCCGCCTTGATCAAGCGTGATTAATACTCAAACTTAAAACGGCACTTTTGCACGTCAATTTATATGTGAAAAACTAGATGAAGCCGGCATTTCCTATCTGACTACTCTAAGAAGAAATGCCGAAATAAACTCAGAGGTCAGTCTCTTTTCAACTCCAGACAATGTTAAATAACATAATGTGAGAGAATCGTGCAAGTTCATTCTGTAGTGGTCTTTTGAAGAAAGAACCACACCAGTTTAAGTGGACCCGTTCTGAAGACAGGCACGCAAGTGTCAGTTTGCAACCAGTATAGCTAGTGCTGCTGAGTTGTCCGACAAACTTATAGGCTCTGAACTCTAATAACTATAGGCTGATGATAATCATTATATTACTTTCCTCACATTCGTTCCGGCTACTCTATTTAGTGTTGGATGAAATGAAACTCACACAGCAAGTTAAAAATGCTTGCAAAATGAAAAAAACAAAAGTTTCATCCAGTTGGGGTAAGGACCTCTAGCATAATACATACCCTGTGTGCCGACGAATCCCTGCAGCTCCCCGGGCGCGGTGGTGTTGGCGCGGATCTTGACTGCGCAACCAAAGTCTCCCAGCTTCAGGCAGTGACCCTCGTTTGTTAGGAAAATGTTTCCACCTGGAGAATTGACAACATTACGTAAGAGGAACCGTGGTAAACTTTGTGGTAGTTTCATATTTAAGACACCTGATCAAAAGAAAAGATATATATTTGTCGGTCATTTTGACGATCTGTAACGACCAAAGACATATTTATGAAGCAGTGGCAAGTCAGCAATAGGTGAGAATGGGTTAGGTAAACATTGAATCGTTTATATTGGATGTTTAAAATACATATAAGTTAGTACTACCGATTTCATTCAACCTGGTGGTCAATGAAATATATTGTAAAAACATTATAGAGTATAAAAACTAATTAACAATTATGTTGTCAAGTGTAATTGGAGAGCCGATTTCTGTATTTCTTATTTTGTTGTATTTGTAATTGTAAGGCAAAATCAATTCTTCGATACTGTAGCGATAAACAAAACAAATCACCACATCATGTTTTTTGAGAGAGTTAATTTATAAAATTTCTCTGCACTGCATGGAGCTAAAGAGAGTGTCAGACACTTATTGAATACCCGGGGTTGCGGGGTAAGTGCAATGAGTCACCGCGACCTCGGCTTAGAGTAGGAGAAGGAACGGGGAGGTTTTAGTCAGGAACAGTCTGACACTTTCTCTCTCGTCTTACCCTGGGCGGGAAAAGTCATTAGATGATTTTCCCCTGACAAAAAAAAAAAAGATTCTTATTGAATAAAAACAATTTCTTCCTTCTCCTGCCTCAAGTCGGGACTGCGGTATACTGGATAACCCTTGCAATTGCCCTAATAGGTACCATCCGTGGTGGTTTATTTAGTTTTTGAGGGGCGCGCGGAACGCTAGGCTTTGTACACTCGGGTTCAGCGTACAATTGATACCCAGTGAAGCAGAGATGGGCCGCTATGAGTGTAGGGGCCGGGATAGTATGTGGTGTCCGTACTCTTGATGTCCCTGTGCGCGATGTTCCTGGCGTGCAGCTCGCGGACGGCGGCGAGGAGCTGCTTGGTGTAGCGGCGCACGGTGTGCTCGGCCAGCGCGCCCGACGTGGCCACCAGCGCCTCCAGCGACCCCTCCACGCACAGCTCCATGAACAGCAACATCTCCTCCTGCACACACAACACCCAGTTACACTCAATACAAATACAAATATTTCGGTTTACAAAATAGTAATACATCTAGTGATTGAAGTGACCTTTTAGACAAAATTTGCCTGTGTCAGGGCACTTCGCTCCTCGTAAGCTTACAATTACAACCGTGATATACCTATTACAGATGTTGGTCTTAGTTTTTTTTTTATTTTTACATAGATAATGACCTATGCTGTACGTTGTCGGACAGTACAAAAATTTGAATAAATTCAAAATAATTATTCGCGAAACTTTCGAGAAATGAAACGACGGTTAAGTTTTTAATAGTTAACGATTTATATTCATATATACAACGAGAATTTATTATATCTTGATTGATAATATACTGTTTTAAAGTATTTAATTGTGAGATTTCACCATAAAACCAACAACAGAATATCGACATGGAAGAATCACAGCGTTGTGTTTCACCGTGTGGGTTATCGGACACCTAATTCTTCCCTAATCTCTAAAACTTCAAAACTTTATTATTAAAAAGATCGGTTATGCACTCGTAACTCCTCTATTATTGCGGGTGTCCGAGCGGAATCGATTGCTTACCATTAGGTAATGCAAAAGCTCGAACGACTTATCACATAGAAAAACTGTGACGTTGAGGTACAACGAGCACATATCATTCATTGACAGAACCAGTAGCTGAATGATTTTTTTTATAGTATAGTTTGGCATGTTTGCATGTATGTAGTAGTATGGTTGTGGAAAGAAGGTAGAGTAAGTATGTGCGCACGTACGCGATGCAGTTCGCAGCCGTAGTAGCGCACGAGATGTGGATGCAGCACGCCCTCGAGCACGCGCAGCTCGTTGGCGGCCCGCTGCAGCGCGCGCCGGTCCCCCGCCCCCACCGACAGCTCCTTCATCGCCAGCAACTGACCGCTCTCTGTGTTCACCACCGTGTACACCTGCACACATAGTACCAATGCATGTCAATTATAACAAATTCTTTTGCTAAAGATTTGCGTTAGTATGAGTACAAGGGTATGGATTGAAACTAATTATATTTTTCAGCAAATTATGTTCCCATAAGGCGTATCTATAATATAAAAATGAATCGCAAAATGTGTTGATAAGCGCATAACACAAAAACAGCATTTTGCCAAATCCTTTCGTTTTGTATTTATTATTGTCAGGAGAAGGTTCTTATGAAAAAAAATATAAAAAAAGTAGTGGGGAAAATTGGGGAAAAGGAACCCTTTCATTGTTAGCGAGATAGTTGGACCCGTGCAAAGCGGGAGGGTTTTATAATAATAATTATTCTTAAAAATATTAATATACTAAGGAAAATATTTAGCAATATAAATGTTTTACAAAAGTCAATCATATTACTATTTATAGTATAAAAGACTGAACAATTGGCACGGTAATTGGGCAACTGACTACTGCATTATGTGTCATGGGCTCTATGTGATGCACAAATTGTTCCTCCAGCTCTAAGTGTGAAATTGGATATTTACTAACGCATCAACGACGCAAGAAAATTTAGTATAGAGAGAGTTATTTTAACAAATGAAAATGAATAACAATGTCTTTTTTCCTTCATACATTTGGCTACAGTATAACTTTGTGATACTCAATAATAAGACTATACGACCTAATCTACCGTACTCTAATCAAAAACCTTCTAAACGGAGTAAATGAGCTTGTAAAGATTGTGCTATGAATGTGGTACCTTCCCGAAGGTGCCGGCGCCGATCTTGAGTCCCCGCTGCCACTTGAAGGTGAGCTGCCGGAGCTTGGGCTCGTAGCAGGTGAGCGCGGCGCCCAGCACGTGGCCGACGCTCTTGTTGCTGCGCAGGCGCTCGTCGCGCTCCACGTCCACGCGCTCGATCGCCGCTACCACGCGGCGACGGTGCGCTGGGGGTACAAAAACAACAATCAAATAAAAGTACATCAAACCTATAATTATATGTAAAAACAAAACTAAATGTTCATTGAAATTTAATCTAAATGTTATTAAACATTTTTATGAGTTTCTTTTATTGGCTATCCTAATATTTATCCTGTGAAGATTCGCAAACAAAACAAATGATACATCGTGTTTTTTTGTGAGGGTAAAAACTTAAAATTTCTCCTCCTGCCCTGACAGGGCTAGATGGAGTGTCAGACTCTTCATCATATCAGCCACAGGACGTCCACTGCTGAACATAGGCCTCCCCCATTGACTTCCAGATAGGCCGGTTGGAAGCGACCTGCATCCAGCGGCTTCCTGCGACCTTAATCAGGTCGTCTGTCCACCTTGCGGGTGGACGTCCTACGCTGCGCTTGCCGGTACGTGCGGCCTCCACTCGAGAACCTTTCTGCCCCAGCGGCCGTCGGTTCTACGCGCTATGTGCCCTGCCCATTGCCACTTCAACTTACTAATCCGTCCCGTCAGACTCTTACTGACTAAAAACTCCCTCGTTCCTTCTCCTGCTCCAGGCTAAGGTAGCGGTACCTTATTGCCCTTACCACCGCAACTCCAACTGATTGTAAAGGTTAAAGCTTAGTTTCAGATATTTTTAATTCTTCTCCTCACCGACATATATTTCGCCGATGTCAACAGGGTACATATATGTATCGTAAATCTTTTTACCATGTTTTTTTAAACGTTGCCCCACTTTAGGGTTTTCTCCTGTGTTGTTGGTGCATTTACAAACATACATGACACAATACACATGACACCCAGACCCGAAACAACATTTTGTGGTTCACACAAAGTGTTGTTCCGTGCGGGAATCAACCCGCTACGCGTTGCACGGCAGCCAGTTGCCTAGCAACCGTACCAACAGTGCAGTCAACCATCTGTTTATATGTATTTGTGGAGTGCAATAAATATATAAGTAAACAATGACAATGAAATCAAGTAACATAATACTCACATTTGGACTCTGCCTCTGGGTAGCTGTGTAGGTCTGGTTCCATAGGGGGAGGGGTGGGGGGCGTGGCTGCCTCCCGACTAGTACTACTGCTTGTACTGTTACTTGGGAATGGACTCTGGAATCACATCATGATAACATAATCTTAATTTCTACTACGAAATAATAAACACCAACTAGCTCAAAGTCAAATTTACCAGTATTTTTTTCAAATATACCAGTACAAGCACTTTAGAAAGTCAAACAAAAAAAAAATACATCATAAAGTTCAACTTGGTGTGTGTCACTCTGTCAATCTGTCCTCAAGTGAAGCTATTTGTTCGTTCCAGGGTGTAGATTGTTATAGAGAAAAACTAGCACCAAACTACATGATCAATCATTTTAAATCAGTTTCACAAACACGTTCTTTGGTACATTAATTAAGTTGGTTCGATTACGTGATATAACATAGATTTTCATAAATATAATAGCACAAATATTTATTTAGAGTAACATAAAGATAGTAAATAATTTCGTCTAGTTGTGAACACACCTTAAATTAAATTTGAAATGACTATGATTGCATGAGGATTATTGAGGATAGATAGTCGGTTAAAAAGAAAACTTACCGCTAGTCTCGGCCGTGGGCGGGGCGAGTGTGTGGGCGGGTTAGGTGCCGGTCGGGAGCCAATCACGTGCGAGATACAGCCGTCCATTAGGGACTTGAGTTCCTGAACAAATACCATAAATATTACTACAACAAACTTTATAATATTAGGTTGGTGTAGGTCCAGGCGAGGAGATTAAAGTAATCTCTCTTTTATGACATAGGTCAGTAAACGAGCAGACGGATTACCTGATGGTAATATCAGCGCCGCCCATGGACATTCGTTATACCAAAGGAGTTACTACAAGAGCGTTACCGGCCTCTTGTGGGTTATTAAAGATTTAAGGATAGGGGATTTGAGGATTGAGGGTGGATGGAGAAAGATTGGGACTCCAGTAACCTCACTCACACGGCGAAATACAATAAAGTGTCACGCCGGTTTTATGGGAGGCCGTGATATCACTCCGGTCGAGCCGACCCATTCGTGCCGAAGAATGGCTCTCCTGCACTTAAAATAGAATAGGACAATAAGTTATTGATATATACATTTTTTTATGTAATAGGTCGGCAAACGAGCAGACGTATTACCTGATGGTAAGCAATCAGCGCCGCCCATGGACACTCGAAACGGAGGAGTTACGAGTGCGTTGCCAACCTCTTAGGGATTAAGGATTTGGAGATTTAGGGATTGAGGAGGGATTGGGAAAGAGGAAGGATTGGGCCTCCTGATATGTTGCAAATTAGTTCTATGTAACATACCTCAAATTCTTCTTCACTTAGATGTTTCGTGTTGCGTGGATCGCACGCCAGCATTAGGAATTCTAAGCCTTGACTCGCCCATCTGTAGTGACAAATTAAAATATATTATTCCAAGTTGTATTTATTTTATAGTTTTTTATTTGAGGTTTGGAGAATTATTTGATGATATGTTTTATTAAAATTGTTTTAAAATGTAAATTTGCATGTCCTTGAATGAAATTTTCTTCTTGGTCCTTAGTAATACCTAATAATTTGTGTCTACATTCAGGGCAAATAAATTATTACCGTGTTTTGGCATATATGAGAACACGGTAATAATTTAGTAGTTTCCAACTAGTCAAATTCAAAAATTTAATGAAATGTCAGAAATGAAACTTTTCTATGAATTCTGTATGAGATCGCAACATATGACGCCATAATTTATTGTTGAAAAGTTAGCTAGAATAAATCTAAAATTTTAGTATCCAGTCAAATCTAGGAATGAAAGTATGAATATATTTTCAATAAATCCTTACTGAATATTCAAAACAATTAATTGTTGACCTAGGAAACTACCGAAGTATATCGCATACAAGTCCATATGTCCGTACGTACCTGGGTCGCAGTCCCCGGCCGCGGTCGCAGCGCTCGACGACGAAGAGCATCCAGCAGCGCGCGAAGTGTATGATGGCGCGCGCCACCCGCGCCGCCCAGGCGCGCTCCTCGCACGTGGGGCCCGCCGCCACCGCCTCCGTCGCAGGCGCCGGGGCCGCGCCGCCCCACAGCAGCGCCTCGATGCTGCCCTGCTGGGTCTGGATAACCAGCCAACGTTACTTAAGTCTATGACAAAAACTGTTGAAGGCATATCCTAGCTAGCGTCGGCCAACAGTCTATGTGTAAAGAAATGTTGGATAAAATTCATCAAAGTCAAACAAATGTCTTAAATTAGCTAGAGATTCTTTATATTGATGGCCAAACCATTCAGTTGATATCGAAAATGTAGTAGAACAATATCTTATATGTGCAAAATAAAAACCTACTAACCAAAAAGAACCATTACAAAGTTTTGAGATCAACAAATATCCATGCAATGCGGCAACAAGTTGGTATTGATTTAATGCATTTTGATAGCGCCTCGATACTACCCTGATCGGTCTACACCATCAGGCAACATTACGTTAAAAGCTGTTGAAAACAAATCCTCTGCCAGCGTTGACCAACATTGACCGCGTTGGCAGTGGACACAACTAGACGATAATACTTAATCCCTTATCATACGAGCGTATTCAAAGCAGAAAAGATGTCGTTGCGGGTCGACACATACAACAAATACGCCACCGCTGTGTGTGACAACAGTATTGGTTTCACGCTCGCTTATATTTGAAGATCCGTAACGGTTTACTATATTTTTATTATAACTTTCGTGAGACATTCTAAATTATTTATTATGTTTTCGGCTTACTCACGTAATAATTTGACGAGATACTCGACTAGTTTCACTCGGCGACTGTCGCGCTGCTACGAGAGTAATACCACATAAACATATAAAAATAGAACGAATAGCGAAACTTCTCCACAGTGAAATACCTAATCAAATACAGCTAATCCGGATATGTAAAAGTTTACTAAAAATACATCACAAATACGGGAAAAATACACAAACAATATTTGACTAACCTGATTCTCTCCAAAGTTATGTATGTTATCGAACAATCTCTCATCGAATACACTGTTCTCATATTCATCAACGATGCTGTCAGATCGCATGAACCGGGAACGGCGCGTCGGCGGCGGCGGGGCCGGGCCGGGCCGCCGGGGCAGCGGGGGCGACGCCCGGGGCACCTCCGACACTAGCCGGTGGAGCTCCTTGTGCATCTGTGGTAAAGAGATACATATGCTGTTGATTTAGGATAGTTTTATGTCTACAATTGTGATTTAAGAAATATGGCGTGCAAATTAGAATAGATTTTAATATTTTCGATCTATACTGAATTGGATAGTTTCTTCAAAGTCAAAGTCAAAATAATTTATTTCAATTAGACCCTTACAGGCACTTCTGAACGTTAAACAAGGCTAAAAAGTGTCAGACTGTCGGTCAGTTCTCTTAGTGAAACTATTTGCTCGTTCCAAAGTGTAGATTTCAAAAATAAATTCGGTTCTTAAAAAGTTTTTTTAAACTACAGAACTATAAAAAATTCAAAAATAAACACAATATTAGAATGAGAAATAAATATGCTATTTTGCCTAAGAAATTAATATGTCAGATTACAAAAATCATAGAAAAACATAATTTTAGACGTTTCAGAAAAAGTATTGAATTTGACTAGTTGGAAACTAGCCTATTCTATATTTAAAGTTGTGACTCTCGCCTCTAAAATTTATACGCATCACCATATTTCTTATCACCCATGTAGATTAATTATACCCGTGCAACATAAAAAGCGAAATCCCATAAAAGAATAAAGAGTTACATGAACAAAATGAGTATGCTCTATATCATTAATTGGACAGCTAAAATATAACGGCTCCGGGCAGTTAAATAACTGTAAATGCAAAACCACACAAAGCGACAAAACAAACAAGACATGACACCAAACTCAAAAACCAAAATGTCACGTCGATTTCAAACCCAATTAGCCACAAGGTCATACAAACTATGGATTAATGGACACTTCGAAATCTGCGACTGTTCTAGCGATTCCAACACAGGGTTAACACCAAACTAAAAACACTATTATGACCTATATCACACGGTTGTCAATCGCGTGCTTACTTTTACCACTCGAATGTGAAAAGGGTTAAACGAATGGCGACATCACAGTTGGTTTTGTACAACCCTTATGTACAACAAATCTTTATTTTGAATGTAAATGTCAAAATCTTCGCTCTCAAGACAATGTCTTATTTAAGCCATTATGAAACAAAAACTCGAGTTAGAAAACCAACGATAACGTAGCCATTAGTGAAACAAAACCAATCAGTCGACAACGCAGCTGGAGGGACGTCAACGCAACGGATCCGCGACGTCGACGCAGCGTGACGGCACCTATGGATCCCAAGCGGCGTAGAGCCGTACCAGGGGGTTAATGGACTCATGCACGATGACGGTCTCGGGGCGGCGGCGGCGCTCGACGGCGGGCGAGCGGACGGGCTGCAGGGACACCGGCCGCAGGCGGCGCAGGGCCGCGTCCTCGGGCCGCGCCGCGTGCACGAACTTGTATAGCTCTTTGTGCAGCTGTGGACAAGCGGACGTCATGCGCTCGTGCGTACGTACGTACACGTAGGTACACGTGTTAGTGCCAGGCTGTGCTTGTGTGCGAGTGCTAGTATTGTACACATCATATGGACAGGTGGACAACAACATTATGTGTGGTTGACATAATTGTAATAGTGAAGGTTAAAAACAGAATGTAAACATTTAATAAGAAGAAAAATTGAAACAAGGTTCAAGCATGAGTTTTATTGTTTATGCTACCTATTATATTACCACAGAACAGAAAATTAAGTAGAAGTGCCCCTACACTCTTTCAAAAGGAAAACCAGTGTCGCCAAAATCACACATTCGCAAATCAAATTGTCCATTACACACATAAAAAACAGCTATATAATTGGGTAAAAAGATGAAACGCAACTTTAGCAAATCATCTTTTAAATGTTGTTAAAAATTGAGTCTTATAACAATGAGCGAAAGTTGTTATCATTTCACATGTCACAATCAATAAAGGCGCCTATCGTGTAAAAAACTTAAATAAAACAATTTACAAACGGGTTCAGCCACTCAACGCTAGATGGCGCTGTAACAAATTCATTCTATTCAAAACGCTAACTCCTTTGAAATACATGTCATATTTGTATGCACTTGTACCAATAGACATTTACTATTTTGCTACTCAGATAGGGCAGGGTATCCCAATATATCGATGTTTTTGTATTCGTGTGAGCAATATAATTTATCGACACGATATACCTACAAATGATCAGTAATGAAAAAGGTGCTAATAGAAAAAAAGAAAAATATTAACATATTTGACTGCACGTTTGGCGCGGTGGCTGGGCAACTGGCTGCCGTGCAACGTGTCGCGGGTTCGATTCCCGCACGGAACAACTCTTTGTGTGATCCACAAATTGTTGTTCCGGGTCTGGGTGTGATGTGTATGTGAATTTGTATGTTTGTAAACGCACCCACGACACAGGAGAAAATCCTATTGTGGGGCAACGTTTTTTAAAAAAAAAAAAAAAAATTTTTTAAGATTTAATGTTTTTTGGAGATGGTCAAGTTATTATTAAAGATTTCGATTTTAACATATAAAAGCACTACGCGCTCCTACAAGTTTTATCTCCTTTCCATAAATAACGGAGACGAAAAAACAAAAAATATTGTTACGTGCCTGACGTCACGTTCCTGACTATGCGGGCTTGGGTTACGGGATTGGATGAAATGAAACACTAATACCGGTTTTCAGACTTTCTATTGCACTTAAGTTACAGCGTCCACGGAGTTAAGTTATCGGCGTTCCTCTCCAGCAGAGTCCGGCCGACTGACACAACTTTGCCGTTCACGCTGACTTAACTCACTTAACTGACTGCACTTCACTATTTCACTGCACTTCACTATTTCACTCACTTTTCTTCTTTTTCACTTCTTCCTTTTCTTCCGAACCGCTTTAGACTTAGAACTCAACTGCCAGCGGTGAGCCGCAGTTCCGCTTATATACCCCCGGTCAGGTTCTAGAACATTCAATTTCGTTATTCTTTTTGATCGTCATGCCTCCAGAACCTTCCAATAATTTCGTTATTCATTTTTATTTATTCTCCTTCTCGCTCCTTAATTTTTCATTTCTTTCACACAAATAATTCCAGAAAGTTCGACAAAACTTCCATCAACTAAAAAACTTCATGTTTACGGCGGGACTCGAACTCGGGGTCTCTGTGGTGTAATCCACACGCCGTACCGATTACACCAACTCGTGTTGACAATTCACGACGAAATTTACAATCTCTAGGCAACGTTTGACAACCATCCATTGACGTCATGATGTCAAAGAGTTTTCCGTCACAATATGTTACAGTCAAATTGAGAGTCACTCTCCTTTTTGGAACTCTGATAAAAATCATGTACAACATCTATACTTATAATAAATCTGTAGAGGGGTCAATTCTGTACATTAAATATATTTTCAAAATAACTACCAGGGGGTGATTAGTGATCGATACTGATGCCAAAAATGCAATCAGTAAAAATTTTGTCTCTGTCTGTGTACGGAACCGTACATTATTTTAACTACTCACGCCCGTGCGTTCTGCACACTCAGGTTTTGTGTATATTGCAAACAATGCAAAATGTAATTTGTGTCTTTTATAACGAATTATAAATCAATGTTAATCTAGCATTCAAATCGGGTGGTATTATTTCTATATCCTTATAGGATTAACCCCTCATCATATCGTATCATCAAAGGTGTAGGAATCTTCTACATTTTTTTGGTCCTTCGAGCCGGATCGTGGCGGGACCTTCGCGGTTACTTTGACCTCGCGCGCGCATTCGTGTCTCGTGTACGTCAACGTGACGTGGACTTAAGTTCCGTGCGATCACCAGTGTAATCTACACACATCATCGACTTGAGCATCGCTAGCTTAAGCCATCTCGGTCGTGTTCATTGAATCGCGATACTTCATCATCTTCATCTCATCTGTGGCGCGAGAGGTCGCGCACGCTGTCAGCTTCGTTGGAATCACCAGCAGGGGCGTAGGACGTCACTACTGTAACGTCGCATCTGGATCATCATTTATCAAGTAAGACTGTTCCTTTATTTTTCAACATGGAATCTCGTATAGCCCGTCAATCTGAAATCATCTCCAGTATCACTACCATAAAGGTCAACTTTAATAAGGACTCTGATTCCCGCAAAAATGCCGAATACATCAAAAAACGGTTAGGCGCGCTAGACGCTCTCTGGGAAGAGTTCGAACAAAATCATTCTAGAATTTCCGATCATGCCAGTGAGGCAGATGAATATTTCCGTCTAAATACCTATCAGGTAGGCAAAGACCTTTATCAGTCTGTCCGCATCCTCTTATCATCTTACGGAAAATCATCAAAATCAACTCAACCAGATGGGGAGGTTGATGAATTGTTAGCAATGCAGCGGACTAATTTCAGGGCACTTAGTCGACTTATTAAGAGCATCAAGGTTGAAAATATATCGGATAAATGGGAACTCGAAGACGAGCTAAACGGCGTTCAGTCTATTTGGAAAATTATCGACGCTCAGCATTTGAAAATCGATCATATACTTGCGGGTGGAGATATATCGTATGACGAGGAATTCACTCGTCATGAGTTAGCTTACAAAAATATCAAACGCGAGCTAAATAGGAAAATCTCCTCTACGACTCATTTAGAAAAGGTCACTCCGAAACTTGAGATACCTACGTTCAGCGGAAATTATAGTCAATGGCCAACCTTTTATGATTTGTTTAGCGAGACAATTCATAACAATAATTCCATCACCAAGGCCCAAAAGATGCAACATCTTAAGGGTAAGCTCAAGGGCGAAGCTGAACGACTCATCTATCATTTAAATGTCTCATCGGAAAACTACGATACCGCATGGGAGATTTTAGTCCATCGATACAACAACGAGCAAGCTCTTTTCACTCATCAAATCGAAATATTTCTCAATCAGCCCAACATTCAAAAACAATCATCATCCGAAATCAAAAGGTTATATGACACTACTACGGAGTGCATTCATGCTATTCACAATCTTGGCGTCAATACTAATGCGTGGGATCCTTTATTGGTGCACCTTCTATGTAAAAAACTGGATACGGATACCCAGACTGATTACAGAGAAGCACGCGTCGAACCGCGAAAATTACCTAAGTTAGACGAGTTAATGACATTCCTTGAAGGTAAATTTACTGCGTTGGAACAGATAACCAAATATGATAAGGAACCCGCTACATCTATCAAACGAACCCCAAAACCAAAAGTGCAAAATAATTATTACAAATATAATAATTATAAAGGCTTTAATCATCGAAATTATCAAGCTCAAGCTATTCATATCTCGAAATGCGCAGTTTGCAACCTAAATCATAATCGCAATTTGTTTTCATGCAAAAAATTTATTAACATGACTCCGGATTTACAAATGAGAATAGTTACACAATCAAATATTTGTAAAAATTGCCTATTCTCTCACGACGGAAATGAATGTACTTCCACCAAACGTTGCAAGTCTTGCCAAGGCAATCATCATACCATACTCCATGAAGCGTGTATGCAATCATCAAAACATCAATCCTCATCATCATCGTCTACATCGGGTCCGTCCGCAAAAACACCCAACAAACAGCCTAATGCCAATCATGTCGCAGTAGACGATGAAGAATTACTATTAACCACGTTATCGATCAATGTAAGGTGTTCTGACGGTACCTATATAACCCTAAGGGCTCTCCTGGACCAGGGGTCTCAAATATCACTTATATCGGAGAACGCTGTGCAACGACTAGGCTTACAGAGGCGACGTTACAATGCGTCCGTGTCCGGTATAGGTTCAGGTGCTAGTCAAAGTAAGGGTTTAGTATCTATCGACTGTCAATCTATCTACGGCGATTATAATTTCACTACAGAAGCACTCGTACTCTCTCGGGTTGCCAGTAACTTGCCTAGCGTTCAGTTCAAAAAACAATCATGGCCTCATCTCCAGCATCTGCAATTAGCTGATCCAGAGTACAATGTTTCCAAGCCTATCGATCTTCTCTTGGATGTCAGCATTTATTCACAGATCATCATGGACGGTCTTATCAAAGGTCCATCTCAAGCTCCAATTGCGCAGCAGACTGCCCTCGGATGGATTTTATCGGGAAACGTTCGTACTTTTAATTGTCATATCGTGACAAACAATATATCGGATCTTTCAAAATACTGGGAGATTGAAGACGTTGAACCATCATCATCATCATCATTGACTAGTGAAGAGCAGTATTGTGAAGAGTTTTATCAACAAACTACTCGTCGCTTAGATACTGGCAGATACGAAGTTGGCATTCCCATGAAACCCGAATACGAAAATCAACTTGGATCGTCTAAATCAAAAGCGATTGCACAATTCAAACAGTTGGAAAGAAAAATGTGCAATAATTTATTATTCTCGGAAAGTTATAAATCATTTATGTCCGAATATCAACAACTGGGTCACATGTGTAAGGCCGATAATGTCGACG